AGAGGGAGGGATCAGTGCTTGCACCAAGCCAACAGTTGTGGGGGCTGTGGGCAATTTTTGTTCCTTGACTGAGTGTATATGTTTGGGTCTCCACATTAAACCAACCTTGTGTCATAACCTGACGTTGTTGATCGAGTAAACACCAAATTACTATAGTGTAGAGCTGGGGCTTCTTAATCTTAGAATTCATGGGAGAATTGAGCTCCAATTTCTCATTTATTCATAGATTTCCTAATATTGGTTTTACTTAATTAGATATTGTTTCTCTAACTCATCAAATGTTGAATGTATAACCAATTCTAATTTCTATTTTCCCATCTTTTACTATATTAATTTTATCTTATAAATTATCCCCTGTTCTGTCACCCATGAAATAAAAATAATTGTTTGTACAGAAAACAAGGATCTATGTACATGATTTTGTTTTTAAATTAAGTGGCAGCAGAAGAATTGTTGAACTTTTTAAAAGGTAAGCTTAAACATTAATTCAGTACTTAAATGCAGCGATCAATTTTGAATTCTTCCATAGTTTATTGATGTATCTACTCCTCTCTAGCTATTGTGATGATTCTCAAACCAAGAGTCCTCACAGGAACTAGCTTAAATGTCGCCCAATAGGGTGGCTTTTAAGCTAGCTGCAATTTTGGATGCAAAAGGAAAATGAGTTACACCCCTTGAACCATGAAAGCAACGATAATAGCTAGTATAATATTAATATATATTTTTAACCTCGCATAATCTGGCAACCCTGAATCTGCCTAACTTTTCTAGGGCTTTTGAATCATTTAAATCTGATTAGTGGGAGTGCTTGGACACACACACACACACACACACACACTGTACTTTATATATAAAATTATGGATTGTCAGTGTATTTCTTCATCTCTGCTATTTATACAGTTTTCACATTGATACACAACCATTCTGTTTACCTTAAACTTCTAAAACTTTCAAATTTTGCTTATTGTAATGTTTCTTGTTATATTTGCTTTGTTCTACTTGTACTAATTGTTTGTGGATGTGTATATCTTTCACTTCATTTTGCTTTTTATAACTTTATTTTTTATTTAAAGCATTATGCTGAAGACTGGTTGTAATGACCACTGAAAGAACTCTTATATAACTAGATTGGTCAAAATAATCTTAGGACTGATTTTACACATCTTTCTAGAAAATCAAACGCTATTTGTTTCTTTTTCAGTTTATTTATTCATAACTTTTGTAGTTGACATTACTGTTCAAGTAAATAGACACTTAGCATAGGATTTTCATTTTAATAATAAAAAAATCCTTGAATATATTTGCAGAAAGAATTTGTTTGGATCAAAATATTGTTCATAATTACAATTGGTTACAGCTTTAGATTTAAAAATAATAAAAATGGTTATCTAAACTATTGAATATATTTTACAAATGTTACAAAATTTCTTCTAAGGATTCTACCATTTAATATTAGTTTTAATACACTTTTATACACTGAATTGATTCTTTATTATACCATGTTCTTTCGGGATGTAGGTAATCATAGTTCACAACTTTCTGCTTTTTGTTGCTCCAAGCAAATTTTTTTTTTTTTATCCTTTACTACCTCTTTGTCCCTGTTCTGCCATCCATTTGCACAAGCTTGTTAAATAGGTTATCCAGTTTTCTCTTGCCTTCATTATATCTTATTACTGTTAAATTCTCTTGCTCCTCTTTTCTCATTGTATCCTAGAAATTTCAGCTGTCTGTTTTTAAGTTCTCCTTTTTCCTTAAGACTTCCTCATTGCTCACATGTTCTGGTCATGGCATCATAGTATTTGTTGGTAGAACCATATATCTTTTGCTTTGCTTGTGATGAAATTGTCCAGCATTCACTGGTATATACATTAGATATTATATAGTAGTTCAGCACCTTCATTTTCAGTGATATTTCCTATGTCCTAGTACTTTAGTGTCTGGAAAACAAATTCCATTATTTTTATGTATCTGCATATTTCTGTGTTACATTTTCTATTGTCTGTTACTGTGGTATTTAAATGATTGAAATCCTGTTCTGTTTGATTTATTTCTCTAATATGTAATTCAGTTTCAACTGTCTCTTTTGCTGGCAATTATGCATTTTGTGTTTTTACATTTAATAGTCCTTGTTTTCCATTATGACTTTCTAAGAGTCAAGTTTCCTTTCTGAGTTTACCATCTTATTTTGTTAAAATTATCCTGGTAAATAATTTAAATTGGTTGTCATGAAATTCTTATAACTGAAGCTTGTATTTAAAATGCAATGATAAATTACTTAGTCTACATTTTCTTAAATGAAGCTTTGTCATTAACTTTTGACAGGTTTTGCTTTCATCTTATTTTTGTTACTTTAATCATAGCACTATATGCATTGGAAATATAGACTAGGCCTCAGTAGAATTTGGCTGAATTGGTCACAGTAAAATGAGCTCTCAATAATAGAGGATTTTAGTCCAAATCTTGCTGGAGGCTTATGCATTATCGTAACTGATTCTTCTTAATTGGTTGTAGAATAATGAATAGTTTTAATGAAAATCCAACAAAAGTAGTGTAAAAAAAAAAAGAAAAAAAAGTTTGCTTCCATCTTCATATTTTATGGTATGGAGTCCCCATAATAAGAATAATTTAGGAAGAATCTTCCTCAAATATAAATCTTCACATAAATTTCAGTATTCTTCTTGTATTTGATATTAATCCCCCCCCTCCTCCCCTGGTAAGTATGGCCTAGAAAAGTGAAGTGAGATTATCACTTCACTTTTTTTCTCCTCCATACTTTTTCAACCAATTCTTTCTATGTATGCTACACTTGATACTATTAAATAAGATATTGATCTTAATTCTGATGAGCATAGCTTTTAGTTTGCACCTGATAGCTTAATGTTCACTTTATTTAATCTTCCAGTTGATTACTCTAGACACAGATTTAGTTTCTTCAATTGTCTTTTTGTCACAGGTCATCTCAAATATCATACATTCAACTGGATGGATCATTTTATTTTGACTTAATTTCAAGAAAATGTTACTCTTTAACAGTTTGTAAAACTGGTAAACTACCAGGAGTCACTACAAAAGACAAACGTAGACTGTTCTATTAACTGTGGCAAACTAGTTGTTTTTCTTGCTAGGAACTTCACAAAATGCAAGTGTATCTGGTCATATTTTTTCTTTTTTGGTGCTTTACTAGAAATCAGTAGCAATAATTGTAAGCAGATAGTTTGAATAGGCATTGTGTATTTTACACACACACACATATATATATATATATATATATATATATATATATATATATATATATATATATATATATATAGTAAATAGTAATTAAGCAATTAAAACAATAATTTAAGACTTGTTATATACACAAAAAGTAGTCTATTCCTTGACTCTTGCAGTCAAATGACTATACTACATTATATTAGAGAAATTCATTTTTTTTTTTGTGAATTAATGTTAAAAAGATCAATAACTTGACAATTTACAGCATACTTTTTAATTAAATTTTTACTCAAACATAAAAAAAATACGCCAAGTAATGGTAAAAAAAAGTTATGCAATTCTTGTGGTCCAGTTGTCTACAAGTTCATTCTTGAGTGCCTATACACCACTAATGGCACTGTGCCATACTAAAACTAGTAAATGCCAGCATAATTCAGTATAATTGGGCAATTTTTGAAATTTAAGTTCAGCACCTAATTTTAAAAATACATTCCCCAAATCATTGTCTTGAAGATTGAAAATATTGTGAAATTATACTCTAAATACGGTAATGATTTGACTAAATTTTGCAACTACAGCAAAACCTAAATTTGGTTTCTTTTATTTTGTCTAATTCCTCTGCCTGGCAAATACATTATGCTAATAACATCTTTTTTTCTTTTAATCACATTTTTTGTATACTTTTTGTCTATCACAAAAATACATTCTCATGAAATATTGAAACACTTTGCTGCCATCTCCATTTGATTTTCAATGTAAATAAGAACATATTTGTATTCTTATGTGCATGCTTTTGTAATGGGTATCTTGGTTTTATTTTTCTATAACTTATTTCTCAAAAGTATTGCATCATTTTCACTTCATTCTGATTTGTTAGACCAGTACAAGGATATTTGTGATACTTATTAGGAAAAACTAGATTAAATGGAAAAAAAAAAAAGCTATAAATTTTTTTTTTTCATTTCATGCACTTTCTTATCTTTTAGGCAGCATTTACCCAGGAAAGCTTTTAAGTTTTTACGCTTGTTAAAGAATCACTAATTGAAGTGTGTGTGATAGATATATATATATATATATATATATATACACACACACTTCAAAATTGCTTGTACTATATCAACTATTGATATTTGGTATCCATACAAGTGCAAATCCAATGCTTTTGTTTCTTAGTTGGTGTTGAGGTTAACTCAAAGTATATTTACATTGCATAGTTAATGCTGTAAATACTTGTCTTAACTGTTAAATGATTATTAAAATAGAAATTTATTTTAGTATATTGTTAAGAGCATGACTGTCTTTTTGCTGATCTTTTGATCAACATTAGACTTCATTTAAAAAAAAGACCATTGTTCTGAATCTGATGATTTTGTTAATATGGACGCTGATAGGTTTGTTTTTGTATGTCTTATTGAATTAATGATTAAAGGTATTTTTCTACATCTTATGAAAGATGTGAAATATTAGTTAAATTTTATTTCACGACATAATTTATTGCTGCTTAATACTTTTTGATATCAAATAAAAGATTTTTTTTTTTTTTTTTTTTTGTTTTTTTGTAACATTGTTGTAATCTATTAAATGTTTTCACTTTTATTTCCTTTCTTTCTAGTGAATACATGGAAAAACATTCATCTTATATTGTTTGATTCTAAACAAGTTAGCATTTTGATTGTCACTTTTAGTTAAATTTTTATCATTGTTGTTTTATCCACAAAGCTAAAAATGTTCTAAATTTTTATTTTATTCTTTTATTCTAAACCATTATAACTTATTTTTTGTAGATGTGAAAAATATCCTAAAATGTATTTCTGGGAAATTCTGCTCTGGAGAACTTACAGCCATCATGGGCCCTTCAGGGGCAGGTAAATCTTCATTAATGAACATTCTGGCTGGTTACAGGTAAGGCAAATCTGACCATTTTAACTTTGATTTAAGATAAAACTAAATTTTACAATTTAACCTGAATTTTGTTGACTTGGTATAGACTTAGAATTCCCTGCCTGGAAAACTCTTAGCTTAAGTTGGAAAAAAAACCCCAAATCTGTATGACTTGGTTTTGTAAAATGTTACCCACTTTGAATTCTACTGTAACTTGTGTAGCAGTGTCAATTATTGTTATGCAAATTTTTTTTTTTTTTTTTTTTTTTTTTTTAAACAATCTAATGTGCTCTAAAAAAAAAAATTGAAAATAAAAACCATATCTTCCTTTTGGATTAAGATAGCTTATTTCTAAATGCTATACTACTAGCTATTGTAATGTAAAATGTGAGATTCAAGTCACCTACTCGATTACCTCCAACAGTAATAGGAGGATTACAATTATTTCATCATATATAAATTAGGTTAGTGTCATTTTAATACCACTACTGTTAACTTTGCACATTTAGTAGCATTTCTAAAATTTAAAACATTTTAGAATTGTTTAGCTTTTTTTTTTTTTTTAAAGTTTTTTTTTTTTTAGATTTTTTAAAAATTTATTTCAATTTTTTTTATTTTTAAGAACCTCCAACATAACTGGAGACATCTTGGTTAAAGACAAGGAACGTAATCTACGCACATTCAGAAAAATGTCTTGCTACATCATGCAAGATGATCATCTTCTGCCTCATCTCAGTGTTGAAGAATCCATGATGTGTTCTGCTAACCTCAAGCTAAATGAGAAGATGACTTTGAGTGCAAAACAAAATCTTGTGAGTTTTCTAATTTCAATAAATTTTCATGGGTGTTTCTTTCCAGTAAAGAGATGCAATGTCAGTTATTTTCTTATAAATAACTAGCAGTAGAGCCCGGGGATGTAACAGTGATAGATCAAGTATCGACTATCATAAAGACTGAAAAATAAAATTGACAAAGATTGTTTAAGGTTGCTGGACACGCATGTTTTTTTTTTTTTTTTTTTTTTTTACAAATTGGTCAAACTCAAACAAAAACATTGTTTTCAATCGTTATGAATAAGTGTGCAAGACAATAAAAAAACACTACCTGCCAAAAAAAAAGTGAAGTTTTCTTGAAATTGGTTGAAAAATGTAGGAAATCTGATACCATGTAACACGCACACAACCAACCTGGGTTTTATAGTAAGTATAACTCTATATGAGTTATCCCCCTTTCATTAATGCCTCTTAATCGTGTTTTCAAATTGATTTTGTGCAAAAACAATTGTTTTTTCTAATTTTTGGTGCTGTCAGAACCACTGCAAGGTAATTTTACGTAGTCCTGGGAAGTTTTGTTGAAATCGGTTGAAAAATGTAGGAAATCCGATGCAATATATAATCGAACACACACACACACACACACACACACACACACACAACCTGGGTTTTATAATAAGTATGATTCCAATGCATCAAAGTATTATAAGTAGATTCAACAGATTGTCCAATTGTCTTGTCCAAATTATACCAGAAAAACTATAAAATGTGCAGGAATGAGTGTGCTGGAATTTATTCAATAATGGAGTCTTAATAGCTTGTTTTGCTTCACACATCTTTTATAGGCTTTAATTATTGGAGCTTGCCAATATTGAGCTTTTTATTTTTTTAAATTTTTTTTAAGGTTGATGAAATTCTTGAAACTTTGGGTTTAATGGAGACCAAGAAAACCCGAACTAGCAATTTGTCTGGTGGACAGAGAAAGAGGCTCTCCATAGCACTGGAGCTTGTAAACAATCCTCCTGTAATGTTTTTTGATGAACCCACGAGGTAAGAGCAATCGATCCATGTATCTTGTCAGAATGCTAATATTAATCACATTCATATATAATATTGATCTCTTTTGACTGGCTTTGAGTATTAAGCAACTTAACTCTTAATTGCAAGACACAATTTACTGAACCAACATTAAATAAACACTTTTGTTGCTTTATCATATTCACTTTTGTATCTCAAATCCAAAGTTTAAATAAAATCTTTTGCTGTAGGTTATTAAATAGTGCAAACTTTATTTTTACTTCGTTAAACAAATAATTCTAATATTTTATTTTTTAGTGGCTTGGACAGTGCCTCATGTTACCAGTGCATTTCTTTGCTAAAGTCTTTAGCTGCTGGAGGCAGAACTGTGGTCTGCACTATCCACCAGCCTAGTGCCAAGCTCTTTGAAATGTTTGACCATGTGAGTCGTCATTTTTAACCATGTATTGACTTGAACAAACTTTCTTTTGTCATGAATTTCTGCTTTATGTAACCTGTTTTATTGGTATCTTAACTAAATGTAGACTATTTCTTTTCCTTAATCTCTACTATTTTTGCAAATGTCTATTAATAAGTTTAGAAAGAAGCATCAGGTGATGGAAACATTAAATAACAATCTATTCTGAAAACCAATTAGTTGAATAAAGGTTGTACAGCAAGTCATGAAATATTGGAAATGCTCAATTAATATTTTTGTTTATATTTATATCTATAACCTTTCTAATATTTTGCAAGAGCATTTGGGTTCTCTCTAGTTGATACTTCGCTTGCCTGTTCATTCCTAAGGATGTAGCAATTACACTATTTATAGGCTGTAATATACTGGTTTCATTTGAGTAACTTGTACAAGGGTAGAACTAATGCTTTGTAACTGCATTTTAGATTTGCCTTGAATGACTACATTAATGAAATTTTGGTGTGCTATTCAAATTTTAAAAAAATGTGGTACTTTACAACATGGAATATATAAGAAATTGTGGCAAGCAAAATTAGCCACTACTAATTGTACCAAAGACTGAACTTTATTTAAGCAAGATACTGCTGCATATATGGCGGGATTGGAAGTGATTCCTCTTAGAGAAACAATTGATTTGAATAAGAACTGCTTTCATTTAGACCAATTGAAGCCAGCAATTCAATATTTGTATTACAATCATCATCATTACAATAATAGTAGTAAGTATCCCAAACTAAAATTTTATTTCCAATATATCTAAATCTTTTAATGCAGACATAGAGGGGTTGACAAAACATAACAAATGATACCAAATTTATCTTGGTAGCTCAAATAGCAACAGTTAAGTCATAAGTTGGTCATAACTTTTTTGTCTTGTGGGTTGTTGGGCCCAAAGCCAATTGTAAATGTAATGTGTAACTGAAGATGCAGGCTTCAAACAAGTGAAAATCATTATAAATGTAATGTCAAGGAGGTAGTCTTGAAGTAAAAGAAAATAATACTAATGGAATCGATAATTACTAAATCCAACCAGCCTAAATATTGGAGAAAATTGTGTTCCCATAAACAAAATAAGTCATATTTACACCGTAAAAACAGCCAGAAGCACAATTTAATAGTAGGGCAAAAACTGGTCAAAAGCATACCATTCTGGACTTGCTATAAAAAGGATCTTATGGAGGTACATGCCTGGAACTTTACTAATTTTAGAATGATTTCAACAAAATAGCTCTTCTCTGTAATGTGAATACCTTTTTATCATAGATGTATCGAATTTGAAATATTTTAAAATTATGCAAAAAAAAAAAACAAAAACAAAGGATTGTCTAAAAAGATGAAACTTCAATGTTTCATGAAATGAATCATTGGTCAGTTCTTCAAACAAATGTTTATTTTAAAGCTTTAAACTCATTTATATTCAAACTAAAAAAAAAAAAAATGTATAAAAATGCATTTACTGATGAAACAGAATGGTCATCCTGCATTTCCTCTTCTGATGAGGATTTGCAATTTGAATTTGTTTATAAGCTTCTGCTATTCCTAGAAAACCCCATATTCTTTCATCTCTTGAAACTGGCATTATATCAAAGTTCCATCTAAAAACAAATGTTGATGTCTATTGTGTAATATCATCCAACAAAGACCATAAAAAATAATTATTTCTGCCTTTTGCTTGGAACTAAGATTTGGTTACAGCACTGGACAGGTGTAATATCAATGATTTGGTAAAAGTTGGTAATAGTATACTGCGATTGACTGGTCTTGGCTCTTGTAACATAAGGTCAAAGTGGTTTTTCATCACAAATGCTAGAGTTGTTTGAATGTTCAGATTCAATGAGTGCCTATCCTTCCTTCCATTGTTCCTTTAAAAATGTTGAGCTTCCATTAAAAGTTATCACTGTAATGTCCATTCCATTCATCACACAGTTTTTAACTTTATTAGCATACATTACTATGAATTTGAGATCTTTGGCCTGTTTTCTCCCACTACTTCTCAGTGTGTAGAACTCATCATCCACTGAACAGAAAATTAAATGTAAATTTTATTAATCACAAGGGTAGGAGTCTCTGGCACGGAAAGCACTAATATACAAGGGGGGAAAAAAAATGAACTGATACTTGCTTAAAAAAAAAAAAAAAAAAATTATGGTTATCTTATAGCTTAAGGAGAAAAAATTACAAAAAGTCACGAGTTTGCAAAAGTTGAATAACTATAAAATGTATCCACTTTATCAATTTCATTCTAACATCTGAAATAGGATCTAATCCCTAGAATTAGTAAACAATCAAAAAAAAAAAATTACATTTTGAAAATTACCTACATTTCAATTTTTATGGATCCATATATCCAGTCCATATTTTTTTTTTTTTTTTTTTTTAAATGGAAAAAAGTCTTTCATTTTTTATATATATATATATATATATATATTATTTTTTTTTTTTTTTTTTTTTTTTTTTCTAACTTTTGACAGTTAGAAAGTGGTCTAGTATTAGATATTTCAATCTCAAGTAATCTGACAAAAACAAATTCTTAGCTTGGTTGGAAAATGTTGACTCATCTGTCATATTCACTTGATATTGCATCTTCAAATAACTTTCATGTCTTAAAGATCTTGCTGAATGATTTAACAAAAAATGAATTACTGTAAATTAACTCTGATTACATTTGGCCATCACCTAGCTATTCTTGGTTATTACATATATTTTGTTCTCTCTTCAGCTCTACATGCTAGGTGAAGGACAATGTATTTATCGTGGAAGTGTCAGCAACCTCTTGCCCTATTTTGAGAAGCAAGGTGTAACATGTCCACCTTACCACAATCCAGCAGATTTTGGTACGTTTTTTTTTTTTTTTTTTTTTTTTTTTTTTCTTTTCTTTTTCAGCAGCAACCAATTATTACTAATTAGCATACTACCACTTTCTTGCTTTAATTTTTAAGTAATTATACTTTTAAATTGGGTACCCACATTATATGATGGTGCATATATCTTTACTAAATATTACACTATTGCTTTTCACAAGGGATTTTGTTTCAGTTGTATGAATACTATGGAATATGTAGTTCAGGTTTTGGAATTGCTCTTTGTTTCTTTCACAGGGTTGGTAAAATTCTTACATATAACTATCGAAGCTTATCAAGTCATCTTGTATACCAGATTCAAATTTTGCCTTAGTACTTATTATATAAGAATTGATAATCTTAATTTCATATGAAGGAAATTAATTTTTCATCCCTGTGTATACAGATACAAGCAGGCAAAGAATACAGCTAAAAATTCTATCAGCTTTTATATAGATGCATTATTTTTTTATTTTTTTTATTTATTTTTTTTATTTATTTTTTTTTTTTTTACTTTTAAGTGAATTTCAGTCAGTGTGTAACTAGCAAGTAGAGCTTAAGTTGTTATTCCTATCTATACAAAATCTAGTTTGATACTGGATTGAAATCTGCAACTTATCCTGTTAGCATGAATGATGTTCAAACTTCATATTGTCATTGACTTTTCTCATTCCACTTATTCTGTATGTCTATCTGCAGCTTTCCTTTTAATGCCTTTCTTTCTGCTTAACTCTAATAAACCCTTTTTGCATCTGATTTTGTTGGGGTGGTGTTAGATGTGTAATTTATTTTCCCAGTGACCTTGAGTTACTTTTAATTTATATTGAGGAAGGTACCTAATCTCACTTGGCATCCACAACTTTCTAGTGCTATTAACATTGACACAAGTTTTAGCAGTAGCAATAGTTTTGCTGATATGTTGCTTTTACATCATTTGGCTTCAGGCCAGCTCTGATCTTAGACTTCCTCTTCTACTTTTCTACACCATTCCAATCATATCTTTGCAGCTGCTTATCAATATTGTATTCATTCCAATGTAGATAAAGTTGCCTAATTATATATAATAGTAAAATTTGTTCTCACTTGAGCTTACAATTAATCAGTTAATTATTGGCTAAAACTTTGGCTGTTTCATTGTAGCTATTGCATTTTCTTTTACATCTCCAATATTCTTGGTAATATGCTTCTTAAATGCAATTTAAGGTAACTTAGATTTTGTAATTATTTAGAATTTAGTAGACATTCTTAAGAAAACTGATTACTCTTGGCATATACTCTTGCATGTATATCTGCAAACTTGCATACATTTATACTTAATTATGGTATTTGTGATGTTGCCAGTTTAGCCTTTTGTATTTATTTATTTTTCTAATTGTTATTGCTTTTCTCTTGGATGCTCCTAATCAACCAATATGGCCAATGGTGACTAAAATTTAAGCTTACTTGCCAAATAACTCTTAAACTAGTTGCATAGTTCAGTATTCTGGCATCTCTCCAACAGTCTAGTGTTAGTTTCAGCTTAACTTGTGATGGTCTTAGTGATATTACCTTGATTTAAATCCTCTTGTGCAAGTGCTATACTAATTATATATAGTTTGAGAAGTTTTTTCTATTTGTGGTAAAAATAGACTAAAGAAAACCGAAAGATATTTCGATAACATTTGTGCATATTTAGTAATTATTATAAACTATGGAAGGTAAAATTGAAGTTTTGATGTAGCAAATCTCTTAATTTTGGGTGTAAAATTAATAAAAGAAATAACTGTTGGGGTGGGGGAGCATATGAATAGCAAAGACAAGAAATAATCTACAACACAGCTCTACAAATTTAAATAAATTTTATTATTGAAAAAAAATAAATTGCAAAGTTCCTTGCAAATTTTTTTTTTTTTTTTTTTTTTTTGCACAAAAGAGTTGATTTCTGAGTGAGCTGATGTTTACACAAAAGTAAGATATTAGTGATATTACTTAAATCTATTGAATTTTTTTTACAATTTTTAATGGTGTTCCACATATGTGTGTAACAAGTATCTTGACTTTATTAGCTGAACCTATTAATTGAAGTCCTCTTCTTTCTGTATACCTTTCAGCACATGTATGTGGGAGTGGTCTTTCTTACACACCCACATATCTCACATACATAAAACTTTCTAAATTTTATGGCTAAATCAAAACATTCATTACATATCTTCAGGCTACATTGATCCAATTGACTGCCTATTATCTTTTGTCTTAAAAATTACTGTAATCATTTTTTTTGTGTTAAATGATGCAGTTTTCTTTTACTCCAGAGTGTATAAAAAAGATCTTGATTGTATTCATTGTTTTTAATTTTAACAAACTTAATTTACTCTTCTTCAGCAAGACGATAATTAATAAAGCTTTATTAAAATAGTTTTTATATTTATTACACTTTTTATTTATTTAATGGATCAGATAAAATTTGGGCTAACAGCTCTTAAAGCACCATTTCAATTAGTGTGTATAAGTGATTGAATTCTCACATTGGAGCATTAAGTTTGTAGAATCTATATTAATTCAGTAGCATTTACAAACATTAAAATTGAACTGCCAATTTTGTAATCTATAAACTTCTGTAGTATTAGTGAAATAGTAAATTTAAAAGTAATTTTCTATAATTTGCTACTGGCTATATGCAATATTTATCTTCAATTCAAAGTTTGAATGCTTGACAGAAGATAGATTTAAATCTAAATACTGACGAGTTCCAATTGAGTGTTAACCAAGAATTAATGAATCTCACTAATCTGTGTAGCTAATCAGATTTCATTATAGGTATTATTTACTTATTTTGTCACTTCGTTTCTGTAGGTGATACAAAACCAATAGATTGGATGAATTCTGTTTCATTTGTGACCACTGGTTTGTTCACACACATATATATATATATATATACACCTGATAGCTTATTGGCTAGTCAGTTGGTTCAGTGTTAACATTTTAATTCCTTTATACTTGGATACTTTACTATTGATATAAGATTCATGAAATTAAAGCAATATTCAATTTAAGAAACTATTAAAAAACAAAAGTTTGTGTTAAAAATTCTCTTGCATGGTGTTATAAATCAGATATAAGAAATGGTAAATATTAGCACTCACCAAATTAAACAATTGAGTTCTCATTAAAGAAATAATGCTGCTTTAAAACAACTGTCATGACCACTTGGGATAAAGATTTTTCTGAGATCCACGTGAAGTATCTTGTTGCTTTTACTGGTTTATCTGCAAATTGTCTTCAACTTCTAAGGTTTAAAAAAAGATAAATAAGATTTAAAATCTTTATTGTATAAAATATGGTATGTGCCAGTGTTTATTTGTATAAAATTTTATTTGTGGAAGTATATGGATTTCTAATGTCCTTTTAAAGGAGCCTCTTCTAGTGCTATCAAATGTTTATTGAATTTTATTAACTGTTAATATCCAGAATATTACAAATGCAATTCTTTTGAATACAGGAAAGTTTTTAGTTTTTATTTTTTTAAATTGGTAAAAATATTGCATGATGTAACTGGATAAAACTTTTCTCTTCTGGTAGCGCTTGGGACAGTTTTATTTGTTAACTAGTAACAGTAACAAGAGGTTTGTTTGGTTTTAATTCCAAACGGAAACTAACTTAAAGCAGGTTCAATAGGGATTTTATTGTATCACAGTACCTCATGAGGAAACATGGCTATAAAATGCCAAATAACTTTGTGCACATGAGAATTTAAACCTTGTAATGTGTTTAAAGCTTTTTAATTCTTATCAATTATTGTTCTTTACCAATTATTCTAAATCTAATGCAAATATCTTGCCTTTTCACAGCTATGGAAGTGGCAGTAGGTGAATATGGTGTTGAAAAGGTGAATCAGTTGATCCTTGCTGTGAAAAATGGTCGCTGTGTACCACCTTTGCCATCTCCTGAGGTTGTGGTCAATGACCAGGAAAAGGCAGCCTTGATGAGAAGTGAAAAAGAAGCAATGATGAATGGTAATCACTATGATTGGAATCAAGAAATGGAAGAAAAGAAAAAACTGATGTGTAATGGCTTTACCAATGGACATCTCCTAGGACAGACAGATGCTATCAAGTCGGCCATCTCTCCAGTTATTGTCACCAAACCAGAAGTATGTAATCATTCTATAAGAGCCTCTTTTTCTTCCCCACCATAGTGAGATGTATGTATTGGACTATTGAAAATTATTCCATTTTAATAGTTTGGAATTGTCACTATTATTCCAAATTAGTAACTTTCTAACTTCTAGCTTTTTACCATTAATACAAATTAGATTTGCAAAAGATTACATTTGTTTTAAAACAAAAATCCAAAAAAACACTTAAGATTATCAAGTTATTTGGCTATAATAAGCTTGGTTTGTATGTGAAATTACAAAAATGTGTGATTAAACAGCATATTTGTGTAGCCAAAGAATTACAATACTGGGTAAAATTAGATGTAGCTTTTAAGGGTAAATTATCATAAGTAATCACAGTGCTGGTTTGAGCTACATTTAAGGGGAAAAAAAATAAATGATTAACAAAAAAATGAAAACGAAAGATTCATTGAGTTTGTATAGCCCTTTTTACAACAAAAAATGAATCCTTCTTGCATCAATCCCTATAGTGACACTGTGCCTTGCCTAATAATTCTGGATTCAAAGTTCTTCAGAATGTGGAAATCTGGTGGCAGCTGATATGGATTCCAGAGGCACTCAATGTGGGATTAACAGCCCAAGTCTCTGAGCTCTCAAACCTATTTGTTTAAATGCACTTGGGGCCCAAAACTGGTGTGGGGCTGAAGGATTCTGGGGATTTGTTGATTCTTCAATTTTCACATTAATATCAATAAGGGTTTTTTGGTTCCCTATTTCTGCTTTCTTAATCTACATTCCAAATTTGGAGAATTATCCACCTTCTTGGGATTAGTTACAGGAATTACTCCAACCTGCTTTACTTGTACCACCACTCAACACAGGCAGTTTCATATATATATATATATATATATATATATATATATATATATGCTTAAATTTAAATTCTCAAGGAAGAGATAAAATTATTTCTTCATTCCTGGGCTTATCTCTGCTGAGCAAAAATATAAACCAGATCACCTGCTCATCAATGACAGGATCTATCTTCATAACCTTGACCCCCCAACTTTTTTTCTTTGTTTAAATTTCCCAATTTGTTTTCGTCAACAAAAATATAAGTACTGTCTCTTCTTTTTAATGATAGGTATTTTCTTAATTCCTCAAAGAAGAGAGATAAAAAATGATTTCTCGAAATCAGTTTTCATTTGCATACCAGACTCTGGATGGATAAAAAAAAAAAAAAAAAAAAAAACTTTAGGAGAGAAGAAATCCAGATAATTCCATTTTCACCAAGGAAAATGTCTCCACCTTCTCTCTTTCTTTATCTTCCAGCTTGTATTTCATTTTTGGCTTAACCCTTCTGCTGCTCATAATTAGCAGTTAACAACTTCATTGCCTCAGTGTCACAAAATTACAATTATTTCTTTTTCTTCATTAATGATTCTATTTTTGTCTTTTATGCCAAAACATTAATATGGTTGATGCATCTCCAACCCTAGTATTATTTTCTTTTCAAACCTCAGTCCATTTAAGAAAGGATTTATAAAAAAAAAAAAACCTCTTTAGTCAGATTTTGTAAAGTGGTTTAGGCTTAGGATTTTTAGAGACCACTGGATGTATTTATGCTAATTAAAAAAAATAAATTGTATTTATGCTAATTTAAATTTCATGTAAGTTAATTTTCTGACCTCTTTATTGATTGGTTTGTTTGTTTTTTGTCTCTTGAAGTGTTTCAAAAGAAATTTCATAATTTTAGTTTTTTATGTTCAATAAAAATGTCTAAACTTTATTACTTTGTAACTAGGTTGATAAAACCTTGCATCTGCTTCATTTTTTTTTTTTTTTTTTTTTAGGACAATGATTATGAATGTCATACATTTGCAACTAGTTGCTTTACACAATTCCGGATTCTATTCATTCGAACTTTCATTACCATCATGAGAGATACTGTAAGTATTTTGCTTGTTAATATAACTTTATCATTATTCCTATTATCTCTTTTCTTAATAGTTCGTCTTTTTTTTAATTTTTTAAAATTTTCATATCAGTTTCTACATGTTGGAGCATTTTTCTCCCTCTCTAACTTTAATAAAGTATAATTTCTGAAAGGTTATAATTTACTTTAATTAACTGGTCAGTTTCAGTTTGAAACTTTTTTTTTTCTAATTAAATTTTGTACAAGTTTAAAACTAATTTCAGTAAGGCCCCTTTGTCATAATTTAAAAAAAAAAAAAAGCTAAGGACTTCATTTCTTTTTACTGACAAAGTTCTTAAGATTATCCTTGGAATGACTTATTGAAAGAATCCTGAAGTATTATCAGCTGTTCTGACTTGTAATGTTTTGAATCTATTGAAGCAATTACATTAAACTTTAATGTTCGTGTTAGTCAACGCATAAACTACTCTTGTACCTGATTTCTTCTGAATTGTATGTGTCTGAAAAATATAGACAAGTTTATAGTATAAATTTTTGTCTTATAAATGCCTAAACTTTTAAGAATGTTCTCTTCATTTTTTATATTGATTTTTGTCTACTTGATGTTTATCTAGTTGTATATTAATGTTAAACATTTTTGTATCTTCAATGTTTAGTTTACTTGGTTTCTTACTTGTGATTTTTGTTTTTGCAGACTTTGACCAGACTGCGCTTGATTGCTCATTTGTCTGTTGGTATCTTAATTGGTCTGCTTTATCTGGGTATTGGCAATGAGGCCAGCAAGGTTTTTAATAATACCAGCTGCCTGTTTTTTTGTATGCTCTTCCTTATGTTCACTGCTCTCATGCCAACAATTCTCACATGTAAGTTTATTTAATGCAAATCCATATCATTTAGGTTGTTAACATAAAGTCTAATATATTATCACTTGAAATTAGGTGTTAAAATTAACGCTTAATCTTAAAAATCTTTTAGTGTCTTTTTGCTCACAAACATTTATTGAATTTGATATCAGATTAATTTCACTTTTAGATTTATTTTCCCATTGTGCTTAGACAACTAGAAAGTCTGGAAACTCTTCAATTGATTTTGATATCACTAGATAAAATAATTGATTCTTGTCCTTAAATATCACATTAAAACCTTTTTTGTTCTGTAGTTGTGAAAATTTAAATTCTATTTTTTATATTTATAACTTTAAAAAAAAAAAAAAATTGGAACTTTTCTCACAAAAATGTGCATATTGTCTTAATTTATGTCTAATTTTTGCAGCTCTGATAATCCCATTAAATTCTCATTTTAATTATTTTGATAATTTAAATATTTTCTTTTGCAGTCCCAATGGAATTGTCAGTATTTGTGAGAGAGCATCTGAATTATTGGTACAGTTTAAAGGCTTACTACCTTGCAAAGACATTTGCTGACATGCCCTTTCAGGTTAATTGAACTTTGTAGTAATTATTTTTGAAAGCAGGTAACACTTGAACTTTGTCTTAATAATAATGCAGTATACTATTGGTTATTTCATTTTCCACTGCATTCTTTTTCAAGGCCTCTCAATTGCAGTATCCTTATTGTTAATTTCACTCAAACTCATTTTCTGTTGTCATAGCAGGATATGACAATACAACTACCCTATTGTTCAGGGATCATTCACTTTCAGTGACACGCTAAACGTTTTGTACAGTAAACGAAGTCGATGATAAAGGTCAAAATACATTGTTCAGGTGTTAACTTTATTCAAGTTTGTTTAGATAATTACACTAACATGTGTTCTTAATGTAACCATAATAAAATATCTTGTTTAGATGTCATGGCATCATTAGAGAAAGCGATCCCTCATGTAAAGCTTTGAAGACTTTTCTGAGAAAAAGAAACAGCAGTTAAGTTTAATAAGCCAAATTCTTAACTGTACAAGACCAGGGAAATGTAAATGGGCTGAATAAAGTAAAAGGAACTGGTGGCATTGATAGAACCAGGGAATTATAAAGGTAAAAAGAAAACTTACCTTGTCTGCAGAAAAACTTCTAAAAAGTAAAATGGTTAATTTTACTTCAACAAAGTGTACAGTTCATACCATATAACCTTCCTAATGTATAATTTTTACTCAATATTTTAAAGTTACTTTGAAGAAGGAATGTTTAGAACATAGCCCATTTGTGGAATTGATTTAGTGGGTGGCCATCTAATCTTAACTAGTTTTTTATAAGGTATTTAGAGTAAAGACTTGACCATTCTATGATAAATTGAATAATGAAGTGGTATTAAACCACATACCAACATGTTAACAGCTTGGAGGGATCTTGACGTGTATGTTTTAACATTTGTAAATTTAATTCCAAGATATATCTAAAGAAGCATAACTATAATCACTTCCCTCTGATGTTTCAGACTAAGACTGAAATTTAGTATGGCAAAATCCCCATCTGGTAGAAGTACACATTACCTCTTTCATATGTTTAGATAATTGACAGGAAGCACTACTGAAAAGAGAGAATTTGAAAATAGAATATTGACTTGTTAAGGTGAATAAGTCAGTTTTGTACAACATAGCTTAACGGCTTGACAAATTGGAATTCAAATGGTATCTTTTTACTTTTGTGAAGAAATTATTTTCTTAATGATATACCAGAAAACCAAAGAATAGATTAGCCAAAATATTACATCAAGAAAATAAAGTTCAGTTGTTATAAAAGGAAAAGTTTGAGCATTTATTCAATTTTACTTTACTTTTTAATTCTGCGCGAGCTATATATATATATATATATATATATATATACACACACTTTAGTTTCCTATAATTGGATTTAAATTATATATATATTTTTATAGCTTAATTTAAATTTGTAAACAACTGTTTGAATATCCAATTTTTCTTTTTAACAGATAATTTTTCCACTTGTCTATGGTAGTATCGTTTATTGGATGACTTCTCAACCATGTGATTTTTTGCGCTTTGTCATGTTCTTAACATTGGCCACTCAAACATCTTTGGTTGCCCAATCTCTTGGCTTGCTCATTGGAGCAGCAACATCTCTTCAGGTAAGTGTTCAGTGTTTGTTTAATTCTAAATATTAAATTAAATGCATGGTTTAATATTAAAATTTTATTGGGAATATTTTAAAAGAATCTGAAGAGGATTCTTAGATTTATGGATTTGAGCTTTTGCGACAGAAAGGAAGTTTTCTAATGAGTGCCTTCTTACATGAAGCCACAATGGTTTTAATTTCTGTTTGGGTTGGAGAAACTTGATAAGACATGATCTTATGTACTTAACTAAAGCTTCATAGCTGAAATAGTTTTGCAAGATAGGCTCAGTGTAATCCACCCCCTTAACTTATAATTATTTAATAAGCTTAGGGAAATATTTGTTGTAATGTATTTAAAGTTGTAAACTCTATGAACTCTAACTGAAAGTTTGAATATATCAACCCTCTTGATCAAGAGATTTTTTTTTTTTTTTTTTTTTTTTTTCTAGAGTAAAACTTATTTTTGGATGTATTTCAACTTTTTTGTTATACTTGATGCATTTTTTTTTTTTTTTTTTTTTTTTTTTTCAGGTGGCTGTGTTTTTGGGTCCTGTTATCTCAATCCCAATCCTTCTCTTCAGTGGATTTTTTGTGAATTTTGATACTATTCCTCCTTACCTACAGTGGCTTTCCTATGTCTCTTATATTAGGTATATATCTTTTTACTTCATTCCTTTTGGACTGTTACTATTTTACTTATTTACCAGAAAATGTATTTTGATTTGTAAAGTAAAATTTATGCAGCCCATTTTTATTTGTTAAATATTTGAAAATTGATTTAAAGGCATCTTTTAAAGTAGAAATGTCAAGTACTTATGACTTTTTTTTTTTTTTTTTAATGGGGGGAAGTAAAACCTATAAAGTGTATTCTTAATTATGTTTGATAGACCTGGTTAGTCTTGTTTTCAAATTTGGTATAACTTGCTGTAGAAGTAGAATTTGTTACTGTTAAATAGCATATACATACTTCTGAATAGTGGATAATGTTTGTATTGTTTACTTATTAGAATTAAAGGCTCAGATAGCACATAAATGATTTTTCATAACTTTTTAGATGTGAATTATACATGACTTACTAGGACTTTTGTTAATCAGAATGATTCCCCCCACCCCCACTAATAACAGCATTAATCATATTTTGTTACCTAGTAGTGCAAAGATATTACATGGATGAATTAACTATCCTTTGGTCAGTTGAATAAAGAGTTTGTATTGAAATTTCAAGGTTACCAACTACAGCATAGACTTAACACCAGAGAGCACAATAGCCAAAATATGGCTATACCAAGAGAAGGACATTAATCAAAGTAAATCTTCAATGGCAGTGTTTTTATTTGCTGATTGATAAGCTATACACTTACATAGTTTGATTAGTTTATGAAAATCTTCATTCTCTATTTTTCTTTATTTTCAGATATTCATTTGAAGGTGTGCTCCAGGCCATTTATGGCTTTGATCGTGGGGCACTGGACTGTAAGGCTGTCTGCCTCATCAGTAAAGCTGCTGATGTTTTAGAACAGATGGATGTTGAAAATGCAAAGTTTTATGTTGACTTCATTGTACTGTGTATCTTCTTTGTAATTATACGCATTGGGTGTTACTTTGTATTACGGTGGAGAGTAAAATCTCAACGGTGAGGACTTTGCCAAATCAGTTATGGGAATGGCTTTGCCTTCTCCCATAATATCACTTGGTCTCTTCTTGGCTGACATAAACACAATCTTTGTGATACTTAAGAGAAAATTAAAAACAAAAGAACTCTGAAAACTTGTCACCAAAGGAAATTACAAGTTATAAAGAAAAGAAACTTTTGAAGGAGAATAAAAGAAAACGAACTTTTCAGAATTTCATTCACTTTGAGGAGTGATGTGTGCCCTGGAAGAGAGTGGGGGAGACCACTTTCTGTTCTTATTTCTATAGAACATATCTGTATATATAGACTGTGCATACATGCAACTAAAAAAAAAAAACGTACAATGTGCCTGTGGTGTGTAGATATGATCTATTTAACAACTGTTGTATTTGATATTCTAAATACCCTTGCAATTCATTTTTATTTTATTTAAAATAAACTAGAGCAGTTGGGTTGAAAGAAAACCAAATCTTGACCATGCTTGGCTTGTAAGAGCAAATAAAAATACATTAGGGAATAACTCCATTTTCTATTATGAATTAGCCACTAATTTTTTTTTTCCTTAACACTGTCTTAAAATAAAATTTTACATATATTCCCTTCACCTTCTATACAGGTGATTTAATCTCTTATTTGTTTTGACTACTACTGTGGCCAATGCTTTTGATCCTGCATATTGCCTCTTTATAGTTGCAGGTATTTGCACTTTCCTTTTGCAATTTTTTTTTCCTCTTTCCTGCAATACTTGAAGTAGGTGCCTTTTTAATGGCAAGAAATTCCCCTCCCTAAGGTACTGAAATATGAAATGCCCATTCTCACTCTTCTTAAATTTAACTGCCGGCTGGTCCGGTTAAAAAAAAAAAAAATTGCCAATTTAACTTTTTTTTTTCTCTTCACATTTTCATCATGTTCTGTTTAACTTTTAGTCTATAAATGGAGGATGAACAAGTTTTAATGTGATTGGTTTAGTGCTTATTTTAATTTCAGTGTGGTCAATGTTTGTTTTAAAACTTCATAGATTAATATAGCACTATTTATTCTCATATTCTAAAATGTATATTACTGGAACTTTTCTTGACTTCTACCAAAAAAAAAAAAAAGTTATTTTCTTGTTAATACCAACAATAACACTACTGCCTTGATCTCTAACTGCATGTTTGTGGTTAAACATGTGTATTTACTTACATGATCTACACTTTTAATGTATAAGATGTCTTGTTAAAAAAAAAAAAATTTTGGACTCCTATTGGATCTTGTCTTGGTAGTAGCTGCTTTCACAAGTAGCTGAAAGACCATTCTAAACTTTTTGCTTTCCTCTTTTAGCATATTAAAATAGAAGCCTGTTTTAAAATCACATTGTTGATAACTTAAAAGCTGTTAATTTTTTTTTTTTTTTAAATTATCATTTTTAGTAGTTAGGGCTGATTGAAGTTTATGTGCAGGTGGGTCCCTCAAGTCACTGCCACAGTCATTGCCACAGTCATTACTCAGGTTGAGTCCACTTTTAACACTATACAAAAGTTGGGAATATAAAGACTTAATCTAGTCCAACTAGAATTTTTTTTTTTAAGTCCTCTTCAATTTACTTTTCAGGGTTCATGAATTTTAACTTTGCATGCATACCGGTTTAAAAAAAAAAAAAAAAACTCTTCTGCTTGAGGGTACATGAGAAATGTGCCTAAAACCAATCACTTATTAAAATGCTTGGCAAACAAATGTGTGTTTGTTAAATTCCTGTGTGTTTTGTTGTTGCTGAGCACTGGAGTCTTACATGAAAAAAATAAATAACTAAAATTATATTACTTTTTTATTCTTCTATTGCTTAAAATTCCCTGTTACTAAATTTTTCCAAATTTTACATAGATCAGATTATGGACGTTACTTTATTTAAAACTAATGTAGAGTAGGTAAGTTCTAATTGGGTTGGAACAAGAGTTTAAGGTGTTTGAACACATGCTCATAGATTCATGTATGGATTGTGAATTTTAAACATTTTTGAGTTATTTTCATTTTTTTAACCCATTTAGAAATAAAATTGTTTTACTGTCACTCTCCTTATTAGTAATTCTTGATTACCATAGCTGCTCACATAGTGTAATTTATATAAGGTGTATTAATTTGTCATGAGATAGATACATGTAATGGTTGGTGGCACCATCATACTTTTGTTAAAAAAAAAAAAAAAAAAACTAATATCATTTGTGCTCTGATATCTGGTGAGTAATATGGCTAGGCTGCTCATAAGGCAATATGTATTATCAATTTGAATAGGACATCAAGCTACAGGATTGTGCATACAGGAAATATCTGCTACAAGCCATTACCATTGACAATTATGGGTTGTCTGCAGTCACAGACAATTGGCATAGTCAAATCCATCAAGGAGCTCTCACCTGAGCTAATGTTATTAATTGGAACCTGGAAAACTAGTGGGATGATTCAATGATGTTGTTTCAGGCTGATGGTTATTGATCATTTGTCAACAAGCCAACCGACACACTGCTGCTAGTTCTATAAGTGTAAGATGTTAAAATAAGCTGGTTAATCCAAATATTGCTTTGTGACCAATTTCCATGTACACCAACAGCTGTTCAGAATAGTGTGGTGAGATGTGGTAAAGAGGTCTATTTGCATAAAAAAGATCATGCTTCTACAGATCCTGATATCTAGATAGCATAGTTCAAAATCTTGCCAAGCATTTTGGAATCCAGGTTATAAAGTTGCTGCACTAAGCCAGACAAGATGGGGGTTCTACATAATACTGGACAACTATTCATGGCATTTGATGTCAGTGTATATTCAATATTTTTTTTTAATACTTTCACTATTTTGGTGTAGAGGAACTGAGCTTTTGACTGACTTCAGTCATTATCAAAAATGAAAATGTGTACAAAGATTAAACAAATTCCAATCTGTGATTAATGGTGGAAAAAAAAAAAAATTGGGTTAAATGCATTGACAACCCCCACCAATAAAAACAAACACTTGGAATTTGTAATAGACTTCTATCACAGCAGTAGCATAATAGTGACTCCAGAGCTTCTACCATGTTATGGAATAACTGAATCCAATCACATAGCCTCACTTTATATATATAATAATCTCTCCATTAAAGGGGGTTCTAGATCAGTTATTTTCAGCTATACATTAAATTTTTCATTGTGCATCCAAAGATATTAACATGAAAAATTATTTGGAGAATGTTTATCTTAAAAATCTGTAAAAAATTTAATAATTCCTCCTCCCCCTTAAAAACTTAAAAAAAAATTTTGTGCTGGTTAATTAATGAAAAATCAAAGAATATAAACAAAATGATAAAAATATTGTCAATAAGGCTGATATCTATTATTAGCCTTTTGACTAAACCAAAGCACAAGCAAGATTTTAAAGTGGGAGTTTTCAAACACACCTATGTCCCTTTTTCAACTCACACAGGGAGAGGGTGCCACAATTGGGTTTGTAGAAGGCTCTGAAAACTATTCTGAGTAAATCTAAATCTTTTTTTAATCCTTTAATGTGACTATTCTGAAAATGTTTCAACTGATTTAAGTCATTCTTGTTGGCTCTTAAATGAAGACGTTAAAAGCCTGCAATGCTGTGGTCCCGTTGAAATTGTCTTTGGTTTTTTATGGTTATTAGACTGAATTCTGTGCCTTTCTTCAATTTTTTTTTTTTGCATTTGTTGCAGAAAAGTAAATAGATTTGAATTGTCACAACTGGTGATTTGAATGCTATCGGTAATGGTATTTACAGACTTGGCATTGTGGTTTATTGCACACACAAATATGTGCATATATTTATTGTGTGCACATTGACATTTGAGGGGTTAATTGGACACAAATCAAAGGAACAATAGGAGAAAAAAAATGTCCATTTTTGTACTAGAATTTTTTTTTTGTTTTTTTTTTTTAAAGTAGAAACCAGTCTGACATGTGAGATACATGAATGAAGCAGATTTTACATTGTCTGATTTGGATGCAAAAATTGGCATGATTGTATGCATGACTAGCAAAGCAGTTTTCAAGTTTACATGCCAAATAGTATTTCTCTGTAACTTAGAAATAATTTAATTTCACTCAAGCAGTAGGTCATATTTGCTATAGTTGTAATGGTTTTCAAACTCAGGCCAAATAAGGGCATTACTTGAAATCTTTATAGTGATTTCATTTTAAAGCCCTGAATTAACTCTTTCCAAGATATTGTAGTTTGAGCCAAAGGTTTTTCATATGCTGACTGAAAGGATCTTCATATGAAGGTTGCACTTTACTTGGGTCTAAAGTTGGTTTAAATAAAAAAAAATAATCTGTCATCCATTAATGCAAGAATGAAGGAGAAAAAAAAACAAAAAAAACAAACAAACATACATAAGTAAATATGATATTTAATTTGTCTTTCTCTTGAGTCCAAGTGATATTTTAGTATGCAATAATTCAGGAAAGTCAAGTAGAGACAGGATGGCAGTGATTAGAGAGAGAATAAAAATCCCCTTTGGTCATTTAAAGTATGTTCTTTTCAGGTGCTTGCTGATGAGCGATATAAAGAAATCCAATGCTAGACAGAGCACTGACAAGAAAGATGAATTCAAACCAACGATGATAGAAATTGAACTGCAACTCTCCTAGTACTTGGGTGATAATTGAACTGCAAAAAACAAAAATAGTTTAAAAGGACAGGTTTCTGAACTGGGAGCCAAGAAAAACATCAACTCCTTCAACATAATATAGAAAATAACATTCTTGTAAAATTAGTCACAGCTGTTTAAAAGGCTATAGTTCTATAGGAAAATCAAAGATGGTGCTTGAACGAAATTCGGCAAAAAAATCCCCTTCATCAGTAACATTTTAAGCCCCTCATAGAATGTAAAATTCTCAAAGTAAACCTGTGCCAAACTGTTCCTGAATCCTTGACTTGGCTGTCTGAAAATGACAACATCAAGATGAAATAATGGAAACTGACTATGGAAAACAATTATGTGCAACAAGTTTTCGATCAATCAGTTAACTTTTAGATGTTTTGGGGCCATTTTATAGGATCCAGATGGCTATTTGTATGTGGAATTATTCACTAGTAATTAATCTTTGATTTGGCTGTGAAAAATGGGTTAGCATTAAAAAAATTATAGCCAATTTTCTGAGAAAAATCCCTTTTTTTCCTTTTTCTTTTTATAAAAAAAAATACAATTTTTCACTTCAAAAGAATTTTTTTTCAAACTTCAATCCTTTCTTGGTTGGTGTGAACATCATTGAATAAAACAAACTGCTCCATGACCCGATGATGATGGGAAATACGAAAGACATGAGGCGAAAAAACAACATTTTTTTTTTTTTAATTAAATATTTTAATAACTATCAAATCAAAGATTAAATTGAATTTATTTGGAACAATATATATGAATTTTTGAGATCTGGTCATATTTTAATGCAATGATTCTTTTGAACTATTATTGATTTTAGTTAACTTAGTCAGGTGGCCTGTAGCACTCAGTAAAGGGGACACAAGAGGGGGGGAAAAAAAAGAAAACCATGGAGCAAATTCTCTAAAGATTACCAAATGTGATAGTCATTCAAGGAGTGGTTAGGTAAATATATGAACCCTCTATGTCCATTACGTAAGTATTTTGTCATTGCTTTCTATCAGTTACATTGGGAAAACTAAGCTTGAAAGATAGGAATGTGGAGGTTAAATGCCTTGGTAATCTTTATGGGGTTCAGAAAAAAAGAACAAAGAGAAACCTATAAACTTTCCATGATCTTGTGTTCATTTAAAGTAGGATACAATGATCAAAAGACATAATTCTGTATAACATGCACCAATGGGATGCAGTTATTTGAAACAAGCTTAAAAATTTGGTTTACAAAATACGATTCAAAATAAAGCTCAGCTGGATTTGGACTTAGTTGTAGAATTCATTATGTTGAAAACACTGAAATAGTATGAATAACTATGCAATTAAATTTTATAATTCCATTCAATTTGAGTTTAAATGGCATGTGATTTGATATAATGAAGGAGAAAGAAAATCACTCACCGATATTCCACAGGCATATTCATTCTCATAAGCAGAACAGATGAGACAAAGTACATGCCCTGAAAAATGAAAATGTATTTTGCTGAATGAAATACTTAAAATAAATATTTAGAACATAGGACAAGAGTTTTTTTTTTTTTTTTTTTTACTATCAGGGCCAAGTCAATGACATACTCAGTAAGGAGCAAAAAACATGAATATCAAACCAGAATAAAGATCACTTTTGTTTAATGGCTAGTTTCAGACTTAAATTCTACAATATCTACATGTACAAATACAAAAATTTAATATAGATAAACTTTGAAAACCACTGCTTTGGAGTTTTCCTCCCCTAACAATTCCAGATTTCAATTCCTTCCCAATTTTGAATAGTCATTTTTTTATTTTATTTTTTTTATCATTATACTTTTACAGTAGTAATTATTGAAACAATTTGTGTAACCAACATGGTTTATTCATTTTAATCAAATAAAAAAAAAAAAAAAAAAAAAAAAAAAGAAAATTTTTTTATTTCAATGGTTCATAAAATATCTAAGTATCTTCTTGGGAAGGTCTAAAGGGATTTATCAAGTCATCAAGCAAAAGAATCATAACATTTTTGCAACAAAATTTCTATCTGAGTTAATGCACATTACTGACCTATGTACAGAGAAACTAAAAAAAAAAAATCCAATTAATTCTGCTTAAAGGTAATCGCACTCTTAAATGTTAAACATCCTCATTTTTAACCAACATATAACATCACTAAAGGAAATGTTGGTTGGAAGGGTAAAAGCACTTGTTGCAACTGTGTAGATAATTTGTTATGAAGACCCAGTCATGTGAAGAATAGTTTTAAAGCATCGATCAGCTTCATCAATTTATGCTATTCAGCATGTTGATCAGATCAAGCCGTTTTAGTTAGGCAGTCATTATTTTCCTACTTCAAAAGAAATTCAAAAAGGAAAATTCATTTGCTTCAAATCAATTTGTTTCTCAGGTCATCATGGAGATTGGAGAGGTGTTCCAAGATTAATTGTGATGAATGACATATACTGAGATATGTTATAGGAAGTTATTCTTTAAAGACGTACCTTCAAAAAAATACTCAGCTTGATAAAAATTAAACATTTTGATTTTGTAATCTATAAGTTTTCTGTTCATCTTGCAGTTTTATTTAATCCATTTTCGCAGCTTTGAATGAATATTAATTCATTCAAAGCTGCCAAAAACTCCTTTACAATGAACAATTATTGTCTTTCAGAAGTTTCAGTACTCCTTTATGTCAGCTCATCATAGTTGGTGCACCATCCACTGCAGTAGACATTTGTTGGGACATCACTATCCAAGTATTTCCTACATTATTACTATAATACTTGACAGTGATATTTCAACAAGTGTCTACTGCAACAGATAGTCTGTTACTACATTATACATTATCATGAGTATCAGTTTCATTGAGGGCTAGAAAAAATAAGGTATCCTGGAGAATTTCAGTGAGTTGCCTAAACAATATCTGCAACTTCATTAAATCAGTGTTACTGCTGAGTTCCTGATTGGCTATTTTGTTGCTTTGCATTGTCTTGACAATTATCTCACTGCCTGATTTAAGGAGTTCTTCATTTTTGCTGATCCCTAACTTTAAAAATTCATTAACTAACTTCTGTTTGATTTACAACATTTTTTTTTTTTTAAAGTTTAAAAGACAAGTATTTTTTCTATATTTTCTGAATGTATGCTTTTGAGGTGTTGTTTTACTGGTTTATATACCCATTGGGACTCTTATTTCATAAAACGTAAAATAAATTTAATTAAGACTCTTACCCATAGGACCTTAAAGATCTGTTTTGGAACCAAGCAGGATGATGAGATAAGGTTTATTACTACTACTCTCTGCAACAATGCCTATCCTTTAGACATTGTTCAATCCATAATTAAAAATAACATTTTGGAATTTAATAAAGTGAAACCTGCTTCAGTACAGAGATGTCCTGTGTACCTACGTCTTCCTTGGCTATGTAGTATTAGTAACAGATTTGCTAAACAGGTTTTCATAGCATTTCAACAATGTTACTTTGCTGCTAATACACATGTGGTTTTCTCTACTAAACATGCCCTTCCATCCATGTGCAAAGATGTTCTTCCACCTCTCCATAATAGTTCCCTGATTTATTTAAATGTAGCTGAAGTATGCACTACATAAGAACGACTCAAAAGGCTGGAGGCTAGGATTAAACAACACTTGCCTAAAAAATCCGGAACTCTGATGTTCTGACCAATAAAAACGAGTTTTCCATTGCAGAGCACCTTATAACTGCAATTGTGCTGCTAATTTTAGTGTGGACTCTTTTTTCCATCCTGAGTAGGTCCCACTCAAATTACCACCTTAAGATATTAAAGGGCATATATATTTTATCCATGAAATCTTCACTCTAAACAGAAGGATTTTGTTTTTGGCCTCCAAATGATTTCCATTTAATATATTTTTTTTTCTTTCCCTTATATTCCATTCCTTTTACTGATAATATATACATATTTATTAACTTTGATTTAGCTCTGTTAAGCAAGGTTTGAAACCGGTTAGCTAGCTCATTCTTCATTTTTTTCCTTTTAATTATTGTCATATTATATATATATATATATATATATAGAGAGAGAGAGAGAGAGAGAGAGAGAAAGAGAGAATCAGCCTCAATTCACTGAGAATCATCAGTCAGGACATGAACAATCAAAAGAGAATCTCTAAATCATTTTGTATCCATCTTTTTATTGCTTATGTTCTTTCAGTGAGTTTGTGATAGCTTGGTAGCAGCCATTTCCTCTACTCTACAAAATAAGATGTGTATGATGTTACGTGTTGATAAATGTAACAAAGAAAAAAAAAATTATTTACCACAACACAGAGCTAAATCACAAACAAATATTTAATTTACTAAAACAGAACATAAAATATATACAAGATAAACAATTGTGGCCTACAAAACAGAAAACACAGAGTTACTGGCAAGTGTTACGAGGGAGAAGGAAAGGGAGTCAAATATCTTAAATCACTTTAGGGCTAGTGAAGTAATCTAAGTGCTATATTTGGAAATCCACAAAGGTGTGTAAATAAATATTAATTTTTAGTTTGGTCAATGAAAATTAGTCAAAATTCTATTTACCAACTTTGTTCCATGAAATTCTCTTTTGGGTTTTGGTTGGTCGGCAATTTTTATAGAGATTCTTTCGCTGGATATAATAGTCCTTGAATCAAAAGCCGGAGTTGATACTGACAGCAATCTGTTTTCACCAACTGACAACCCTTTTCCAAAATCCCATTTTTATAGGGGCTAACACCTAATTTGCATTTTTCTAGATGTTTCTCGAATCATCTAGATTTTTCTCGAATATACTAGAATGATCTAGAATCTTCCAAACATTCTATTTCTAATTTCTCTATTTTACAACTACTTCATGAATGAAAACTTTTTTGTAATAACAAGTAGAACTCAAAGGAATCCCTTTTTATAGAAATGCATCCTCGTAACAATGACCTCCAGTCCCATACTCTTTGCTGTTGTACTAATTTCTGGACAATTCTGACCTGATTGGTGGTTGCAGGGCAGCTCTTACACAGAATGTAAAACATCACATTACAAGGGGGTTTTGGTTTAGTTACCAACTAGTCAATCATTGACAAATTGTATTGGATTACATGTTACTATTCAAATGAGTGACCTGACAATATATTTTTAAAATGCCCACTAAAAATTGCCTTTATTAAGGTTTAAAGCAGTTTCTGAATATTTTTTCTTAATCTATTAGAGATTAAGGCATTTGTTGATTAATCAGTTTTCCTACTCAGTCATCATCTTTGTTTATTAGATCTCATAAATTTTATCCATGGCTTAAAAATCATCATAAAAGGAATAAAAATAAGATTCTGATAATTTTATTTGATTTTTGTTTGTTTTACTAATCATTATCAAAAGTAATAACATTTTAAAAGAATACAACTGGTATCACTTCTTTATTATTTATTCTTTATTAATTACAGTCAGCTCTGGTTAAATTCTGGGTTTTCTTACCCCACAACTCAAGAGTTGGTCAAGGAAATAGCATCTTTTATTGTAAATATAATTTACTCACTAAATCACTGGTGCCTACTTTTTATGCCCTAAGCTGCTTATAGCCTAAGCTTGTACTTATTTTACTTAATGCTTAATCTAGCCCTGTGGCTAGTCTACCAACAAAATTTAGATTCATGTATAGTAATAAACATTTTTTAAAATGGGGGTGGGGGTAAAAAATTTTTTGTGGGGGTGGGGGTAAAATCTTTTAAAATCCTCTGAATTTTTTTTTTTTTTGCTATTTAATTTCATGCTTTAGATTTAAAATTCTTTCCTTGGGAGCCAAGTGCCACCCATCCAAGAATCGCCATACCAGAGGAAAGAGTAGTAGAAAAGAAAGAACTTTTATAAGATAATTTGCATGCATTTCTTACAAACAGATACCTACAGACTCAAGTCAAGCCTGATGATAAACTCCTTTAATATGAATAATGAATATGAAATAATGAATATTGATCAACAAAACTTGCTTTATCAAATTTTCATAATTTCATCTATGATGAGAAACAGTTTATATTGCCTGAATTTATTATCAATTTTAGAAAAGAAAAAGAATACAATTTAATATTATTTGAAAAAAAAAAAAGAGAATACAATTTAATATATAAATTAATCAAATATAAGATTGCTTTACAATAAAGTATATTTAATTTTTTGCTTTTAAGATCATCTTTTTCTTTCTTAAGTGATTTTTTTGCCAAAGAAATAATAAATTTGGGAGGTAAATTGGTTAATTTAAGAAACCAGAATAATTTGTATACATACAACACAAAGTTTGACTAAAGTTGATCAAAATATTTTCATACAGAGGGAAAATATTCTGCCATTAAATTAGCAGTTTTCTATACATCTATCATCAATGTTTAAATGTATGGTTTAAACTAACAAAATACTGCCTATCTTACATACAGCACACCAATATTTGAATGGGTAAAATAATAATTTGCATATGAGAGAGATCATGGAATCTATTGTAAGGCTTGTATCCCAAAGTCAGTATGTTTTACTGATATTTTTATTATATCCACAACATGAAATATATATATATATATATATATATATATATATATATATAGACACACACAGAGGTTGTAACAGCAAAATTGTCCAGCCCACAAAATGTTTAATATTAAAAAAAAAAAAAACAAACAAAAACACTAAACTAATTGAGTTTCTTTTTTTCCAGGTTTTCAGATAAGACATTTAGCCATCTTGACACCATTTATTGTAAGAATCACTGAAAAACCCTTTGAGTTATTCAGCTAGAAAGAGAACAGGTTAAAGTCATTTTGTGTCAGCCCCACTGTCTTCCCAAATTAGTAATGGTGAGAGGAAAAAGATCAATCAGTCCTTCAATAATAGTACCAACATTCATATTCTGGCTTCCATCTCCAAAGTCCATTCAAAAACCATCAATTTTTAATTTTGAGCATGTGCGTTGTTTGTTGTGCACTGTCTGTGAGAAAAAGAGCAGCATGACACAATTCATTCCACCAGAAATTTGGAAACAGCATGTTGTATTGCTTGGCATTTGTGCCAGAAGCTCCAATATGAACATTTCAGAGTGTTTAGGGCATAGAATTCAGAAAGAGTTGGATGAGTCTAATGGTGATTATGAAGGTTATGACAGCTCAGAAAACTCAGTGATCATTCTGATAAGAAAAGAATTCCCAAATTTGTTGATGAAATCCAGGCCATGATTGAAAATGATCCCTCCAAGTCAATCAGGTCATAGCCAGGGAGGTACTGAGGGTGGCTACTGGAAGACCCTATGTCTGGTAACAGGACTCTGCACCATGCCACACAAACAGGAGAACCCAGTCATGACAATTTCTGTGACCACATCACCCCTTACATCGGGCAAAGCAACAAGTACCAAAGAGGTAAATATTCTTTAGGCCAGACATTGAGTTTATTTAGCTCTCGTTTATTTCTATCACAGAAAGCAAATAACAAATACCGTACTATTCTTGAATTATTTCTGATTCTTGAAAATAATAAAAATCTAGCAAGCCATGAAAACTATCTGAATTTTGTTATGAATTTTTTTAAAACATCCTTTAAAATATTTTAGCAGTTCCACTTACCATAATCTGTGCAAGACACAGCACAATGATGTTGGATGATTTACTGCTGGCTATGGCATAGAAAAACTAAAAGAAAAAATGAGCAAGAGGCAAAAATAAATTGAAAGTATTCTTAATATTTTTGTTCTTCAAATGAAATAAGAAAAAACATCAGTTTTTATCTTTAATCTATCTCTAAAATAAATATTCTGCATAATTTAGAAAACTATTTTCAGAATATTCCACAAAATTTAGATTTTGAAGTTGCTTAAAAGAATGTACAGAAATTTTTATATAGTTTATTTGTATATTCTTGGCCATTAAAATAATTGATAAAATTCCTTTAATTGTATTTATAAAGTCAAGGAATTAACAGTTTTTGGATAGATTTAATGAATACCCAGAAAGAACATGATTAAGAAAAAAAATATTTGAGTGCATTTGAGAGTCTTAATGAAGAGATTGTGCCTTCTAGCAGGGTTCTAGGGGGAAAAACAGTGATATCTACTCAAACACATGTATCCACTAAATATAATGTTTAAAGTAATAAAAAATAATCTCAGATTAAATAAAAACCAATAATTACTTAGGAATTACTTTGTTTACATTTTGGATACAAAAATAAAAATTAGCAGATATGGGCTTCAATGAGAAATGTGCATTTCTTAAATAGGGCAACTAAACTGATTAGTTTAAAAGCATGCTAAGCCTAACAGCAGTTTCCCCTATGAGGGGAATGCAGGTTTGAACCCTGCTAGAACTCTATTAAAACTCTCAAATGCACAATCTCTTTATTAAGACTTAAATGTGTAGGCAGGTAGACATAAATTTACACTGTTAAAAAAATATGGATGTTTACTCAAACATCCACTAAATATAGTGTTTAAATAAGAAATAATGTTGGCTTATAAATAAAAATCCTTTAGCTCCTTACAAATTATATTTGCATATATTTTGTAAACACATTTGCACAAAAATGGAGTTTTCCTGCCATTTAAAAAATTTAATTGCAATCTTTCTAATAATGACCAATGTTGTTGTTCCATTTGAAATTTGTTTTGCATCAGGTTTGCATATATGCCAACATATCATCATTTGATGCAAAAAAAAAAAAAAAAAAAAAAAAAAAATCTTTTAAACAATTCTAATATAAAATTCTTTAAAGTCATTGAAGGTGCTTTTTCATTTAAAACTAAATCAATTGATCTATTTCAAAATATGCATTAATAATAAAATTTGAAACAATTTATCTGAATGACTTAATTGGCTGTGATTATAATAAACAAATAAGTGAGTAATTTGGTTATACTACTTACCCTTGTAAGTGTAATCAAAAGGCCTCTTATTGATGTAACAATAATAATTCCCACTAACCAAAATGAAATTTGCTGGGACCAAAATTTTACCTGGAAGAACAGAATTATTTTCATGTAACAAATTGCAAACCATTAACATGTATTACAAACTTTTTTCCAGTTTGTCTCAATATTTAAAACACACACACATACACATGTAAAATATTCACAGCAGTAATAAAGAACCAACAAAATTCACCATGCCAAATCATACTGCTGCTTTATGGAAGCCACCATCTTAAACTTATTCAGTCAAGCAGTCAGTTGTAAACAAACATACATGTTTGGTCGACCAGTCTGGAAAGGGTTAATTACAAAGATTTACTACAAAATGACTTGATTTAAAGTAACTCATTTTTATTAAGAATTAAAATGCACATTACTGTTTAAAATAGATATTTGTTTAATATCCTATTTTGGTCACCAAAAAGTAGGTTCTGCATGAATATTTTCCTTAAAAAAATAAATAAATAAAATGAATTTTATTATTTTATCAAGAGCATCTATCATTTGAATGCAACCCCCCCCCAAAAAAAACAAAAAAAACAAAAGAAAAAAAAATTAATTGATTATTGGAAATAAAAACAATCAAAAGATCAATGGCTCCATGAAAAGTCTGCAGAGGTGGAAATACTGCAAAATATAAACATAGCAGGAATACATAAAAAAAATAAAAGAAATAACAAGACATGCTCCTTGATAGGATGCATAGAGTTTAAAAAGAGAACACTGATAATAGGGGAAGAAAAGATAGTACAGAGATGCAATGAACATATATAAGAACTTTCACAACAAAGAAGAGAAAACTTTTAATACAGGAAAACACAGAAAGACCTGTAATATCTGAAGTAAGATTGGCACTGGTCAAGATAGAGAATAACAAAGCAAAATGAGATGAGATTGTGATAGCAATACTTTCAGCCTTAGTGGTTTTACTGATGGATGCTGAGAATACCATAGACTCAACATGTGAGCAACAAAGAAGGAAAATAGGAACTTAAAGGACACTTATACTTACAATTAGAAAAAGTTGAAATTTCTGGGACTGTAAAGAAGACCTAGAGAATTTAGCACTCACAAGACATTGAAGGCCAAAGAAACAGGGAGAATCAGCAAGTAATCTACCTGATAAGTTTATGTAAATGGATGGCAGAACTTGAACAAAGAGGAATGGTAAAGTGTTACAAGTTACCAAAGACCAGAAGTTGTGGAGAGCTCTGATTGCTCATATCATGAAGGTTTTCAATTGATTTATTCATTTTCTATGGCTTATTAACCCTTTGTAGGTTATTTAAAGCTAGAAAATATTTTTAGATTGTAAGAATTTTTTTTAAGATAATAATGGTTCAGTGATACAAGTCTTACTAATTAACCCCTAGCTGTGGGGAGAAGAAGTGAATTCATACCTTTTCCAAGGGTATTTGTGCGTAAGTGAATATAATGAACCCAACAGGAATTAGAACTAAGCTCTCTGATTAACAATTTGGAGCCATTATCCATTAGTCTACTCACATATCCAAACTTACAGTACTTGGTACTCCCAAGCGGTCACCCATCTACATGCTGACCAGGCTTCATGTTGTTAAACGTTGGTGATCATATGGGAACCAATGTTTCAATGTGATGTGGCTGTAAGCAATATGTTATGAAGGGACATCATATATAAAAGAAGAATGATTATAATAGTAAGAGAAAAACTCACTTCAAAATTTTGATTTTTTATGTTCTCTATTTTGATTTTTTGCATTCTCTATTTTGACCAGTTGAAACTGAAGGTTTTGAAACTGAACTCTGCCTTTCCAACTCTAGCATTGATAATGTTAATTTCTAGAAAATCATTCAATATTAAAATATATATATATATATATATATATATATATATATATATATATATATATATATAAAGCAGCATGTTTGGTGACATTATAGAGATGTGCATGGTAATTTTTTTTTTTTTTTTTTTTTTTACTGTAATCTGTATGGTGGCAAGCTTGTGAAAGAGACAGAAACTATGCCAGAGAGAGCAGCAATGATAGAATTTTGGCAGGTTTTCTTGTTGGAATCCAGTCCTCAATAATAGATTGATAGAATAATTTATTTCTAATTTTGGCTTTTATAATAGAAAATCCCACATTTTATGCAGTTTCTTTCTTATTCCTGCTAACCTTATAGAAGTTGGCATTCCATGTCTACTTTGGATACTGTAATGATTATGGTATTATCCAAAAATGCTTTCATAACTGTTGAAACTTGACTAATGCATGGAATAATAATGCAACACAAAATGTACTTATAACAAAATGTATTGAAACAAGAAAGTGTACACAATATTTATATATAGTCTTTTGTATATTCCTGGGAAGACAGTTACAGTCGGACAGAGTCTCTGGATTGAATCTCTTGATTCCTCCACTCTCTTCCCGGTACCAACCATATTTATATTTATACTCCATTATGCAAATTAGGTGGATCCTACCACAACTCCCTCCCTCCCAAGCCTTGGAATCCCTTTTGGATTTCCAACTGGCTTCCTATATGGGTTGATGATTATGGCTATTTCTTTGTAGATCCATTTCCATTTGCATACTTCATATGCATATGTCCATCTGCTTAATTTTAATATTTTTTTCCATTTTAGATTCACGTCTACCGGATCTTCTTGGTTCAGGAGTATTCTGTGGAGGTTCTACTTGAAACATATCATACATTACATCAATGGGATCTTCCTCCTCATCCGGTATACTCTCTTCATTGTCTATAACGTAACATTTTTTAAGTTGGTTCTGGTGCCTTTTATGAGTATTCTTCGGCCCTTTAATTATGTAAATCAGGTCACCGATTCTCTTGTCCACTATGCCTCGCTCCCAGAACTCAACGTTGTTTTTGTAGCACATGAAAAACACCTTCTCTCCGGAGGTGTATCTTTTTCTCGCTGTATACATAGTATTCTTTACTCTATTTTTTCCTGGCAAAAGCTTGTCAAACACTGACTTAACTTTCCTAGTGAACATTAGTTCAGCTAGTGCCATGTTTGCGTGTGTTCTCTGGTTTGGCATGATTCTGTATACTTGTAGGAATTGCTGAAGCGCCTTTTCCAATGGAACTCCTGAGGCTTTCTTCAGTGCGCGCTTTAAAGTATCGACAAATCTTTCTGCGAGTCCATTGGACCTCAGATGATACGGCGGTGTCGTTATGTGGTTAATTTGATATAACTCACAAAATTCCTTAAATTCTTCAGAAGTGAATTGTGTACCATTGTCACTCACAATACACTCTGGCACAATCGAACCCGTGCAAATAGTTCATGCAAAAAAGTTGTTGTGGTATTGGACGTAGGCTTTTTGCAGCGTAGTACTTCCGGCCATTTTGTAAAACTATCTACCACTAACAAGTAGTAATAATCTTCTACTGGACCAGCGAAATCAATGTGTAATCTTGTCCATGGATGATCCGTCTTGGGCCATGGTTTGTGTACTATAGGTGGTGCCTTAGCTGCTAACACACACCCTTTACATCGATGAACCATGTTTGCGATATCCACATCCATTCCTTTCCAATACACAAAGCTTCGCATTAAGTTTTTTGTTCTATTAATCCCCGGTGACCCATATATTGAAAGTCCCATAGTATTCTTTTCTGCAACTTTTTGGTACTACTACTCTCTCACCATATAATAAAACTCCGTCACCTATTGAATAAATCTCCTGCACTTTTTGGTCATTTGCTACCATTTTGCTTTTTATTTCTAAAATGAAATCATCGCTTTCAGCTTCTTTTTTAATTTCCTTTAGTGTAACCGGTAGCTCTCTTACAATGTTGTTTACCATGCTTTTCACTTTTTGATACTCAGTGCCTCATTTTCTATCTGGGAGTAACTTCTTTCTCCTGGGAGCAAAGTTCTCGAAGCATGTGCAATTGGTTTTCTAGAACTCTCTGGCATTATGAGTTGAATACACGCTCCTATCCCGTATGAACTAGCGTCACTTGCCACTACAATATCCAGTTTTGGATTATAATGGGTTAAAAAGAGGTCGGACGTAAGCATTTTCTTTATTTCATCAAAGGCTTTCTGACATTCCTTGTCTTTTTTTAGCAGTTCATTCAACGGAGCTCTTAAATTGTACATTCCTTTAATGAACGCTTGATAATAATTTGCAAGCCCCAGAAAACTCTGTAGCATCGCCCACAGTAGTGGGCGTCGGCATGTCTCTAATCGCAATGGACCTTTCCGGATCTGGACATCTGCCATTTTTTGTTGATTATGTGACCTAAATACTTAATTTCCTCCAAACCAAATTCGCACTTTGACTCTTTTGACTTTAAATCCAAAGTCCTGAATCTTTTTAAATACTTGATTGAGATGCTCTCGATGTTAAATCGACCGGTTTAAGCTCCTTACTATGATGTTGTCTAAGTAAGTGCACGCAAAGTCTAATTCATTCAACATGACGTCCATAGCTTGTTGAAAAATGGCTGGTGCCACTTTAATACCAAAAGGAAGCCTGTTGTACTTGAATAACCCTCTATGTGTGTTTATCACTAGTAACTTCGAACATTCCTCTTCGACGGGAATTTGGAGATAGGCATCTGATAAGTCGATTTTTGAAAATATAACTCCACCATTTAGCTTGTTAAAAATCTCCTCCGGACTCGGTAACGGGTAATGGTAGTCCTTAATTACCAAGTTCAACCCTGTCGAAAAATCGACACAGACTCTGACTTGGTTTGATTTCTTTTTTATGCACACAATTGGTGCAGCCCATGAATTAGATTCTACTTTCGAAATAATTCCCATTTTTTCCAACCTATCAAGTTCTTCGTTAATTTTCTCTACACTTGCGAAAGGCACGTTACGTTTCTTTTTAAAAATTGACATAGTATTTTCCTTTAATTCAAATTTGGCTTCAAACTTGTTACATCTTCCAAGACCAGGTGTGAAGGTTTCCGGAAACTTTTTCTTTAATTCATCTTTAATGTCCTGTCTTGTTTGCGTATTACTTTCTACTTTTCTGCAGAATGAGTTTAACGGTTTATCCCACAATTCAATGTTTCAATAAAATCTGTACCCATCAAGTTTTCTCCATTTTCAGAATGAAAACTCTTATTTTTTTTTAACTATCCCGTTCAATTTCATGGGAAGTACAACCTCGCCTTCAATTTAATTTCCTTTCCAGTTACCGTTCGAAAGCATTTCGTTGACTTCATTATTGTAGGCCTTTTAAAATTTTCCATGTTTTATAGTTCATTATTGTTAAATCTGAACCCGAATCGAGTTGAAATTTGATATTCTTTTTAAATATTTCAGTCGTCACATACTTCCTCAAATCTCTATCCGATTTGATATTTGAATTTGTTTGTCTAATTAAGCTATTGACTTTTTTTCATTTTACAACCGACCCTTTGTGACCATTCTTGTGACACACAAAACATTTTTATTTCTATATGGGCAATTTACCTCCCAGTGTCTTTTCGTTGCACCATCTACAATTATATGGTGGAACCTTTTTTTCTCCTTGTTCTTTTCATTTAATTTTTCTTGTCTATTTTTTTAAAATACGCCAATTTTTACTCCAATTTTTTTCTGATGGGTAATTTGACTGTTTTTTTATTTTTTAATATAAGCAATGCCAGCTTCTTCGATTTTTTGAGACTCTTTCTTTAAACTTACGGCCCACTGGCACTCCTCTGCTAACTTTTGTAGGGTAAGGTTTTGTTCAGATTCGAGTTTAGACAAAACTCTACGTCTTATTTCGGCACTCTTACTGGATACCAGTCCTTGAGCAAAAATTAAACACTTGAATTCTTCAACCGTAATCTCTGCCAATCTGAAATTGTCACAATGTCTATTCACTATAGATGCGTATGTTAAGTAATCCTGATCGTCGGATTTAGCGACATTCATGCATAACCATTGCTTATGCCAAAGCGACATATTTGCTCCAAACAACTCCTTTAGCAATTTCACTGTTTCCGAGAATTCCAATTCATTTGTTCTTCTCGGTAGAATAAAATCTACAAATTTGCTATGTTCTGCTGTACCTAGCTTTCTTAGTAATAGACTGACTTTTCTTGAATTCAACCAGTTTTCACAGTCTGTGTAGAAAATATCTTCATATCGTTTAAAGTACGCTTCAAACGTTTTTCCTTCGTCTGGCACATAGTTGAAAGTTTCCAGCGAATTAAATATGATGTTATTAGAATATGAAGAATTTCCTTTATTTGCCTGATTGTTGTTTAATTTCTCCAGTGTTAACTTTTGAATTTCTAAAACCTTGATCTGCATTTCTTCCTGTTTTCCCAGTCTTTCCTCTTGTTTTTCTTGCTATTTTTGCTGTCTTTCCTCTTGCTTTTCTTGATATTTCTGCTGTGCTATTTGTTGTTCCCTTATTAATAAGGCAAACTGTTCACTTTGACATTGCTGACTCAACTGCTGGGATTTAACTAATTCAGCTTGACTCAACTATAATTCAGATATGACTTTGGATAATTCATCCATCTTTAGCAACAAAGAATATGGTTTTAATTTGTATATCCACGAATATAATATAAGCTGACCAAAAAAATCAAAACAACTTACGACTTTTTTATTTTATGTCTTGCTTTATAAAATATTGTTGAGCAACCAAAAAAAAAAAATTTTTTTTTTTTTAAAAGTTCGTTACCTTTCAAAGTCGACACAGTGTATTTGTGCGCCTTTTAACTCCATGCAATGCTTTTGTAGTCGGCCAGTTTTTTTTTCTTTTTTTTTTTTTTAATTCACCGTTCAGATTTTTCTGAGTGAACGTTCCTTTATGCTTAGTCGTCCTTTAACGAGTTCTAAATATCCAGAACTTCAGAATCCTTTGCCGTTCCATTAGATGTTGGACTTTTAATTAATAATTTTTTCCTTCAGCCTGGGTTCTTCAAAGACTTGTCCCAATTGTTGAAGGCTATCAATTATCAATTCTTTTTTTTTTTTCCGTAAAGTTCTTTCTACCTCGTCTCCATTGTTGAAACTTGACTAATGCATGGAATAATAATGCAACACAAAATGTACTTATAACAAAATGTATTGAAACAAGAAAGTGTACACAATATTTACATATAATCTTTTGTATATTCCTGGGAAGACAGTTCCTGGAGAATGTGTTGACTTAGTCGCAGTCGGGCAGAGTCTCTGGATTGAATCTCTTGATTCCTCCACTCTCTTCCTGGTACCAACCATATTTATATGGTCGGTACTCCACTATGCAAATTAGGTGGATCCTACCACAACAATATCAGAAGTTGTTTCTATACATAAAGTGTACTGTTCCATACTATGCACCATGTTACAAACAGGAAAACAAGCTGTGACAACGCACAATCCATTATTATGCCAACCTCTAACACACATTTTACTCAATTTTGGTATATAATATTAATACATTGAAATTTTTCAAAAATATGAGAGAAATAACCATACAATCACTTTATGATGCTTCATATGCTGAGAGCATAGGTATTGTCAGATTTCAAAAGAAAATGTCTTGTTAATCAATGTGAAAGTGAAATAATCCTGCATTAAATTAGGAATTAGATATTAATCAAAATTCACTAATAAAGGAAAGTTGGTACAAGTCACTCACAAAAGGAAAGAATGATAAAATTAATGAAAGAAAGGAAACTACTAAATCAACTTGAGTCATCAAAAAGGAACCTACATGATGAAATAAGGAAAGTGATAAATTCCCATTTCAATATCAGATGCAGCAGTGACCAAATCAACTTGAGAATGGAATTATGTTAACTTTATCTGATGTTATAGAAGACAGAAGAAGCCAGTGAATATTTAACAGCAAGTGCAGTGTTCAACTGAGATGGTCTCATTGTCTCAGCTTAGTCCTTATTTAGGTCACTTTCATACAAGTATAGAGATTGCCAAGCCAACAGTTATGCTTTAGCCACTTGTGTTTTTCTAGCAAACATAACAGATTTTTAATCATTTTAGCAGGAAGAAATTTGATGCATTTGCTATTCAAATATTCTGTAATGTTATTTGAATGAAAGCATCTTTTCATGTATAGAAAAAATAAAATAGAGAATCAAGAATATGCAGAAAAAGTTACTTCCTGTTGAACATATCAAGGTAATAAGTTATTTTGAATTTATGAAAAGAACTAATTTCATGATTAGTTTTTAGTTAATTTGATCCATCTTTATTTCTCTATCAATATTTTGAATCAGGAAATAAAAAAAAAAACTTCTACAAAAGATGATTTGCTTTATGCTTTTTATGAAGTCAGCAGATCTCAAATCCATTTTCTAAAAGAATAAACATTTTAATATATACAAATGGCAAATACTTTCAAATTTTAATTTACATAATATTCAATTGTTTTCAATAAATGAAACTATTGAATATTTACTCTTATTATGTGTAAACATAGATATTGGTTAATTTGCATTAATTTTAGTCTAAACTGTACACATTTTCTAACAAGTTAAAAATATATAATTTATACAATTTTCTTAAAAAAAAATTCATATTTCTGTTTTCAATTCTGCTGCAAACATTTTGCGTTCAAAGTTTATATTTAAGCTTTTCAATGAAATTTGTATGGATAGCAATATTTATAAACTTCATACTTTTGCTAGTTTCATCCTTTATATAAAAAGGATGAAGGTAATTAGCATTTAAATAAGAATTGTTGCTTATTTTCTTTTTATTAAGCCAATATGAACAACAATGAAACTTTCTATTTCTTTTTTTAAAGTTTCAAGTTAGTTTTGTTTGATGAACATTATGAAGAAATAGCTGGTTGTTGATATTTATAAGTTTAATAGTTTATGACTAGTATTTATTTAATCTCATTTCTGTTGCATTTTATTGCAACTCTCAGATTGTCATTCCATTGCAGGAATCAGAAATAATGAATGCCAATTAGGCTAAGAAGGTTAATTGGTTACAGTAATTCAAATCCAATCATATAGCCTTTATTTCTTATTCCCACTCTGAATGCCTGATAAACCACCATCTTTGTTTACATAAACTAATAATATAATAATATTGCCCACAAAAATTTAAAACTATACATAATGTTTTTGTGCTTTAGATATTCTATCAGGAGGTTCAAGGCAATGTAAAAGTTACCAGGAGGGAAAATTAGTTTAACAAACTGAATTTGAATTTTGATTGGGGTTGTTTAGGTTTACATTTGTGCTTATGACCTTGGAAAAGGCATAAATGCATTTCTCCCTAAACTTTGTACTATCAGCAGATATCTTGGCAAAAATATCTTGTCACTGGTATAACACAATGTTTGATACGAAAAAGAGTGAGGGAGTAAACACTTGGTCAAGCCACTATCTCCTAACTACCTTATCTGCACAAGCAGTTGCTACTAAAAGCTGTTACTTTTATAGTCAACCTTTACAGCAATCAATAATTTAGATCAATTACAAAGATATAACAGTGTATTATACTAATTAGCATTTATTATTAGCTCAACTTTAATTCCACATGAAAAAAGGAACAGCTGGGAAACTGTAATATAGTGGATTGGTTAAAACAAATCAATTTCAACAAGTGTATTCTGATTTGAATGCTAGAAAAGTAAAGCTGAAAGCATCTTTTGTTAGTTTGGATTGAAAAAATGCTTTATTGCTACACTTTTTACAAATACTTTTAAATATAAGATTTAGCACACAAAATATATCAATTATAAATAGAAAAAAAACTGTAAAACTAATGAATATTTTTAATCCTAATTATTTAAAATAATTAAAAGTTACTCACATCAAACTGTATCCCTAAATAATTGACAGCAATTTCTGTGCCTCTTGTCACTGGGTCTACTTTTCCCACACGGTCAAAAATTATATTAATGGCTGACTAAAAGAAATGATACCAAAAGGAAAATAATAATAATTCCTAAAACATTAAAACAAAACATTATTGAATATAACAAACTGACAATAACTATTTCCATTTTCAGCTTGTATAACTGAAAACAAAGTTTATTTTCAGATTTACAAATGTCATATAAAAACATGTTAGGATATGTTGTCTGAAGGAGATGTATTAGATTTAAAAAAAACAAAACAAAAAAAAAAACAGGCTTGAGTTGTTTACATTGATTGTTTGATTCCTTTGAAAGAAATTTTAAATGCCTTTTTTTCTTTAAAGCCTGATAATAGTAAAATACTTACACAAAAATATCTAGTAATAAGTTAAAATCTCATTGAAATATGGCATAGATAAAATTAGCATTTATAGCTTGTAGTCATTAGATTTGTTCTCCTTCACTAACATTAAATGAAACACTATTGTTTTACAAGTTTATAATGGAATTTAAAAAAAAGGAAACTTACTTACCATGAATATTTTCCATACACAGTAAATAGAGAAGAAGTAACCCAAAAAGTTAAAATATTTTCCTTTTAATGTTTTAGACTCTTCTATTCTTTCCTGCAGAAAAGAAATATGAGGAGTTGGACATTTTCTTCCAAGTTCAACATTAATTAAATTTATAAATGTGATATTTTATAATTATTCTTATAAGAATATCATTTGTCATTTAAAATTGAACTTTTGCTTATTTTATTAAAATGAATTAATTTTATTTTGATAGTATTTTAAGGTTAGTCTTAAAAAGGGTTATTAAAATTCAAAAAAGGTAGATAAATGCTAAACTGAAGTGGAGTAATAAGATACCAGTAAACTAAACAATCAGCTATCATCTGTCATGCAGAAAGACAACTAGCTTTCTCTATACTAATTGTTGAACACAGACTCTTCCATCTGCTATGAGTAGAATGTCAGCTAATAAGAATGGTCATCGCAAATGAGTTGTAAGTTGTAGCATTCAAGTTGTATGCATTGCCATACTGAACTACAGTATTTTCTTACTTTATTATTAATCCATGTCTCTCATGTGATGAAACCTGTTCTACAATTAACCTTTTGTTTTAGTGTTTCCTTACAGTATTATTAACCAGAACTACAATCATTATACAAACTTTATAACAATTTTTGTATTCATTTATTCTTTGTTTTTTCTATTCCAGTTATGATTTATATAGATTTTTCTAATTTCTTGTAGTTCATGAAAAATTTCAAAAACTTATGAAATTAATATATCTTTTTATTTAACAATGTAGTTTTATATTCATAGTTCTTGGATGAAATTTATAATTATATAATTTTCAGCCAATACTATATGTGATTAACCTACTTTTATAGACATTATTTAATGTCATGTCCATTCAGGCAATCATGGCTCACCACAGATTCTTTTTCTTTGTCATCTATGAATTACCATGTATTCTTGGGAAAGATAGTCGAGTGGTGTCCCATTGTCTTTTCTACTGTTTGGAATTTAGAGTTTTCCTTCTCTTAGACAGGTTGTTACCTAAAGCTAGAGCAGTTTACCCTGCTAATTAATTCATGGATGGGGAGATGAAATGAATTAATGTTTTAATTAATGTATGTATATAAAACCTGTAAATAAATATAAGCTAACAGTAGTGGAATTTTTCTTTCTCTATATTTCATATTTGCTTATATCAGACTTGATTATGTTTTTACAATAAAATGTGCATTAAACAACCAATGTTGGTAAAATATTCAAAATATATTTACATTTATATATAATGTAAATTTCAGCTTATATTTGTCTTGTTATAAATATTTATAACAACACATTTGGTAGTCTGAGATTTTATTATGCCTTGAGGACTGTTCATCATGTTATAAATAAATATATATAATAGTATAGTTGTCGATATTTAGTTTTTAGTTTCAGATGTATAAAATTTCCTATATATAACCTCAAAAGAGAAGCAAGATACTGAATGATGGGAGCACAATGGTGGAATTTGCAAAAAAAGTTATATAGAGATCAGAACAATAAAAAATGGAATGAAAAACATTGGTAAGATAAAGAAAAAAAATTTGAAAAAATTAAAAAGGGTAATAACTAAGAAAAGTAGCTGATTAGCTACTATCCTCCTAAATAAAAATTACAGAGTGAAGAAGTATGAAAACTGATTTCTCAACAATAATTTTTAGTAATGAAAATGAAGCTACATTGGATGGATCTCATGGCTGGGCTAGAAATTTGGTCTTTCATGGAAATAGCTTACCATAACTTAGAAGACAATTGGGGGAGATTAACGAATGTTTGGAAATGCTGCACTCAAAGAATCAGACAAATGGTAAGCATTGAAAAATAGATGCTGTCAGACTGCAAGAAGTGTGATAGCTTGGAAGGGACAGTCGAACATACATTCTCCCATTGTGTGGAACTTGAATACTTTCTCAAACAGTGATAAATATAACAATTATAACTAGTAGTTTATTGTAACCTCTATGGTCATTTTTGAACAATGAACATCTTACTTTGTTTAAAATTACAAATAATGAATGATTTAAAAATGCAAGAAAATTATTTCTAAAAATATTTCTAGATGTAATAGCTGTAATAAAATAAAAAAATGGTTTGAACATATTTCTTTTCTAATTATTAAAATTAAAAATTCAATAAAAGATAGAGAAAAAGTGCAATTTGTTGGCATTTTACAAGACATTGTGAGAAAATGCAATTGGAATTATTTAATTTTAAGAACTGATATTCATATTTTGACAAGCACTTACCAAATATCAGAAAAAGGGATATCTATCTTTTATTATATTTATAGATTACAAATGACATTTTTCTATCCCATTCTAAAATCAGTTTGGATATATGCAAAACTATTTTTTTAATAAAGATTATGGATGTAGAAAAAAAAGTTAAGAATAATGTTATGAGACACCCAAAAAGTTATTTCAATTTCCAAGAAAAGCAATTTTTCACTTAAATAGATATTTTTTCAATCTGAAATGGTACCACAGACTTAGTGGCCAAATTTCTGAATGTCTACAAAACCAAATATAGATATTATAAAAATACTTTAATGTAAAATAAATGACGGTAAATAAAAAATTTAAATGCAATGTCAATCATTATCGTCTGTCTTCTTAATTCCTGTTCTTTTATTGTTCTCTTTCTTATTAATAGGGTTTTCTGTTGTTTTTTTTTTTCAGGTAGCCCTCCTGTGTTTTAGTGGCTTTATTGCCTTGCTTGGGGTAGAATGATTAAAAAAAGGAAAAAAGATACAAATTTTTTAATGATTTAGTCTAAGCCCTGTTAAATAAATAAAATCCAAAAAATTTTGCTTAAGACTTAAAATGTATCTCCTTGACTTAGTCAAGGAGATACATTTTAAGTCCCAAAATAGCAAAAATAAAAAAAATAAATAAGCAAAATCCCAGAAATTGCAAGTAAATTATTGAGAATATAGGAGTGAATTTTAGTCTTTAATTTTACTCTACTGAAGTAAATGTCACTTTTACAAATACTGACTGGAAGAAAAAAAAAACTAACAGGGTTAGAGTTAAGGGAGACAGTTATATTTTGAATCATTAAATAATCTAAATAAGATTTAACTGTGTAATAAAGATTATAATTCAATTGTCAAGATAATTATTTGGCTAGTAACTTAAGTAGATGATTGGTCAGGTTAGATTTATCTATCTACTGAGCATAGGGATTGAAAATATTGTGAATATTTAATACGATCTCTAACCCAGGAATGAAATCAGATTAGATATGAGTGTTTTGAATGAATATTCCTTGAATGCATCTGCTGAAAAGTTATCAGCCCAGTCTACTTTCCAAAATCTGACCAAATGACCAAACATCAACATTTTTTTGTAAGGGCTTCCTGGGCAGGCTAAGAACTTTTTGATGCTTCCTCATAAGAATATTTAATATCTGGAAATTAAAACTCGGTATACATTATAAAAGTCTTAGAAGCATAATTCCACTTATAAAATTATTAGTGACAAGTGAATACCAATTAACATCATACCCGAGTGTTATGCAGATCCACAGCCTCTAAAAATAATTGTCGACTTAATTCTTCCAGAGCGTGAGTCTCTCCTTTTAACTGACTAACATCTATTGATGATGATTAAGGAAAATCATTTTTATTTCTTACCATATCCTGTGTGTGCATATATATATATATATATATATATATATATATATATATATATATATATATATATATATATATACACACATACATACATATATATATATATATATATATATATTTTGTTTATATAAGACAAAATAATTTATTTGACAGTGTTGTGAGTTAGATCCTTACTAGGTGTTCCACTATTGTGGTTCCATGCAAGATTAAGCTAACATTAGTAAATATGTTACAACAGAAGCTTGAATAATTATTGCATGCAGTTGATTCAGACTAATTTCTTTGTTGTTTTGCTATTTCCTATTTCTTTAGGTGTCAAAAACATTCCAGAACATACCTAATGGAGGCTGAAACATTGTGAAAAATAAAGATAAAATAAAAATCAAACCAAGTCAAAGAAATCAACCTGAAACAATTACAAACAATAATTAAAACAGCTTGTCCATCAAATTCAGACAAGAACAAATATTTGAGAATTAGTTAATCTGTGCAATAGATTGACAAAGTTTTAAACCAAGATTTTTTTTTTTTTTTACATTAAAAATTGCATGTTATTATATACAATGAAATGAATATATTTTTAATATTCTAAATTGTTGTTAATGTCATAGAAAGCAAATATCTAAAAACAAACAGAATTGAAGCTAACAAAAACTCAGTTAAAATATTTTCATAAGAGTACTATTGTTAAAATTAACAAAACTATAAATATTATTTTATAGGTTTTTAATTGAAGTTTTCACTGTTAATCTTATTGCATAACTACTAAAAATAAATCAGTTTTAAATTTGAACATTTATCTTAAAACAAAGACTGAAAAGCTAAGAAACGGTTGTACAATTCATCAAGAGTTTTCTTCTTTTTTTTATAAATGCAAGTGAAGGATACTCTCAGATGTGCCTGTCGTAGCCACATTTCGGAACATCCCAAAAAATCCACCTTGATTTTTGTTCAAAGCAGCTTGGCGTAAATTTTCCCGAACAGCTAATGCAACCCTGTAATAGAAAGTAGAAAAAAAAAATGTATATGTTAAATTTAATTGTTTGTTTAGTGGTATATTCTTATGGGTTATTTAATGCCAAAATTTAATTTTTTCGAAAGCATTAGTAATTTTTCAAAAATGTATTGTTGGTAATTGTTTTAACTATCAAAATTTATTGCTGGTATTTTTACTATAAAAATGTATTTTTATACTTTCAGAGTGTTTTGACCCCAGTTTGGGCTGGGTGTTACTATTTACCCATAGCTAGGACCCTAAAAGTGCTACCACTCCAGATCAGGGTGGAACTGGGAACAACAGAAATTAAGAGGTGGTTCCATGTTCCACAAAACAGATCAGAGGCCATGCTGCCAGATGTGGTTTATCGTCATACCCAGTATGTATATGTTAAGTGATAAGTAAACAAACATTTGCATATTTTTAAAAGTTGACAAAGATTATCTTTTTATTACCATTTATGAATATTTCCAAACTAATGCTAATAACTGATAGTCAATAAAATTCATACATAATATGATAAAAATGATAATATAATTAAAATCTTCCAATACTACGATTAATACTATGGTTGTAATAAATAAATAAATGAACTGGTCAACACTTTATAGAGCAATGACCAGCAAGTTAGTTTCACAAACCATTACAGCTTTAATACATTGCTGGATATCCCAACAATTTTTGCCTTGAACCTGACTAAGCTAAGATTAATAAATAATCAATTAATTGAAGATTTTCATAGATTAAGGACATTTCTTCAGACTTGTATATTTATTGTTCTAGTGTTTTCTATAAATCACAATATTCTAATCTAAATTCTCAAAACTTCACACACCAACTAGTTAAATAAATTAAAATTAGAAAAGAGTGTTTTTTATCACTCCTTGAAAATAAAGAAATTTATAGAAAATAAGAAAGAGATGATTATTTATCTAGTTTATATGATTGTATTGTCATTTTATTTGTCATATTAATTGGCATGAATTGAATATATCAAATGTAACTTAAATATTTTTTATTATGAAATTTAAATACTTTATATCTACTAATTTATAGATATAATACAATTGAAAGATTCTTATATATTTACTCATAATTTAACATTATAAAAATTTTATTTTATATATGATAAAGAAAATGAAAATTTAATTTTCACTTTTGGAGGAGAGGCATTCTTAAGTCTAACATTTTATCATAACCACTTATTTTTTATTTACCATAAAACAATTTTATGATTATTATGATATAACAATCATAATAAATAGTGTGGGTTTGTAGAAATACTATTATTATTCTGAATTACTATATTACATTAATTTATTACTAATATTAATACATTATTATATTTGTTAATTGAAATTGCTATTTATTTATACATTGGTATAAATGACTGCCTTTGTTTAAGTTTCAACATGACATTTTTTAAGATGATGAGGTATTTTCAAATACATAGAAGTGTTTCTATTCCTAGTATTTATTTTGCATTGTTTATTTTTACTATTTGTTCTGTATAACCAATTATTTTCTATTAATCAATATTCCAAGTTTTAACAACAATAAAATTGGGCTTATATATATTATTTATTTTATTATTTATTAATTAATTTATATTATTTATTTCTATTATTATTAATAAATTGTAATTGGTATATCATATGATTCATTTACTCCAATGTGCTTAAAAAAATTACATGAAATTCAAGTGATCTGCTTTTATGTTAAATTCATTAGAATGCAACTTCTGGGGTAAACTTCATGGAGGTTTTAGTCATTTCCCTTTCACCAGAAAGAGGTCTAGAGCCTTGTTCAGCAAAACAATAAAAGCACTGTTGCAAGAATTGGTTGGAAGCACACACAGGAAAAGAAAGGTAGTATGAGTCCAATAGGTTCATTAAGCAAAACAAATTCACACTTCTCCAATACGCCACTCACTGTCCCAAACAAAAAACTGAACACCTGTTAAATGAGCATACCATGATTTTATGCACCTCACCCAGCCAACACTCAGCCAATGAGCGCCCAGAAACAGCCAATAAAAATGGCTACAAGTGACACTACCTCCATCAGCATGAAGTGCTGTCTGATTCACCGTCTGTCTGAAGCTTGTCATTTCACCATCTCCACACTTCCTTGCAAAACATGCATGCAACTCTTTGGGGTTGCTGAGGTAAGTCACTGCTACACTCCCTGCTGATCTCCTGATCACAACTGATGCATCCCAGAGTAGGTCTCTTCTGTCGGGTATCCCTTGGAAGAGGAACACCGAAAGTCTCGTTCTCAGATGAACTACAGCCTGGAGTGTCATCGGGTGCTCCAGCATTGGTCTCTGAACTGCTCGTACTGGAGGAATTACTTGGTGAACTAGATTTTAAATACACAAATTGTTCACTCTCCTCTATGTTGCTATCAGAGTCTGATGATGGATATGATCCCAAAAAAGGGCGTAAATTCTTCACGTGCCGCAACGTTCCATTAATTCACACTGACTACAGGCTGATTACTTGGGTTATGTGATGCGTTTTGAATTTGGTCATGTATCTACTGTGTGTAGACTTTACCCAGACAATGTCCACTTGTTTGTATACTTCTTGAATGTTTTGCAGTGCAAATGAGGGCGTGGTATCAATGTTTCATAACTGGATGTGGTACCTATGCAGCATGTTGGCTGGTGCTGTAGAAGCTGAAAGACTGTCCTTGGGAGTGACATTGTGCCAATAGACCACTTCTGGCACCAAACATTGCTTTCTGGCTGCGATGGTCTTGATACTTCTATGACAGCGTTCCACGATCCCATTCCCAGCCAGTACATGAGCACATTGGAATTTCAAGTGTACCTCTCAGCTATTTAAAAATTTCTTAAAGCTCTTACAGGTAAATGCAGTGTCATTATCTGTCAATATTTTGCAGGTTTTGACAACATATTCAATAAGTTTTCTAAACACTAATGGGTCAACTGACTTGGCAAAATATAAAGTGCTCTTCACACCCAGGTGGCCACTTTGGTGGTGTAATATTGGTCACCTGGTTCTTGTTCAATTTACTCTCCACAATGAAGTATGCTGTCCTCCCCTCAGACCTGCAAGCCCAAGACGTTGGCTCCGTCTTCTAATCGCTCTCTATCTTTACAGACGAGTCCATAATCAGAGAGATGCTGCTGCACATGTGCTGCAGAAACCAGTTTTTCATTAATGAAAATGTCATCATTATATGCTGATGTGGTGCTCTTAATCGCCTGATCTTGATTCACTACTGCTTCAATGATAGCTCTCATGATGAGCAGTGCCACATTTAACCTGAAACCCAATCGTGTAAGGCAAAAATCGCTGACCCTTAAAAACCATGGTCTGAAAGGGCCATAACCCCTTATCGACATGAATTTGCAAATAGGCCTTTCTTAGGTCCAAAAGCAATACATTGGCTCCTTGCCCTCTCCATTCAGACGTCTGCATCAGCAGTGAATGCCTCTACAAATTGACAAGAGTCAAACACCAGCTGACCTTCTGCTTTTACACTTGTACGATCGCAATCAAAGGAATCAAACCCTTTGGTGGGCCAAGCTCCTTTTCAGGATATGGCAACAACCATTCATTTTGTTGCCACAATAAAAGTTCTTTCTTGTACACATCCCAAGCATAGGAGGGCACTATATATTTTTGCACCTTATTTTTCAATTCACCGGGTGCATGACCACTCGCCCATTTCCATGAGGCAGTCCATACCTTATTATTGTTGTCGAATATTATGCTAAAGTCAGACTCATCAATAGAAATAGAAGCATACAGGCTTAGGCTTTCATCAGGAAAGTGTACTCAAACCGATCTGGTTAGGTGCACACCTCCAAGCTCCTTGATTGCGTTGATCCCGAGAATAAGATCATATCCCAACAATTGTCTATCAACGATCAGGGCCTCAATAGTCACAGGACAATCCTCCTGATGCCCAACTTGATTTTGCCGTACCAATGGCACTTCAAAGTTCTCTCATCAACCATTAATACTTCAACCTCCTTCTGCCTCCATAGACTGCATACAGCTCTGCACACCAGCAGACATCTTCCATCAGGCGTTTTCCTGATATGTGCACTTCAATGATATATGTCCAATCTTGTTGCATTTAAAACACTTCATCTCACGGCGGGTCCTTCGCACTCAATTATCTGTCCTCTCTGAACGGCCCTGCATACAATATCTGCCTATATGGTTAGGACCAGAGCCCCTATAGCACATGACAGCTCCTCTATGTGAATTAGTGGGTAGAACTTCCTTGTCTGTACACGTTTGTTGAGCAGACGTGGTGACTGATTCCTCGTGCTCCTTGTCATCAGTCATGAGAGCCTGAGCCTGGGTTAGCAACCACTCCACAGTCATAGTCTCCATCCTAGATGATGCCCGAAGAAGCTGTCTAACATGTTGTGGCAGACTGGATACAAATGTGCAGCGTTTTTCCTACCAGCTGAGCCAGGTGACATAACTCAGCCAAAAATTCATCCAGTTTCATTCTGTCGAAGTTGTCATGCCAAGAATTGGTCAAAAGCATTGAATGTATCTTGTATATGTGGTCATTAGGGCCCTTTTGATCTCTTGCACATCTGCCTTCTGTTTCTTACTCAGTTGCCAATACACGGCAAGAGCACCGCCTCGCAGTCATAGCGGCAAGACACGCTCAATTTTGTCTATGGTACAGAGCTTGCAAACTAACTTGACGTTTTTGATCCATTCTATGATTGGCAGGTCAGTTGTGGCACTGCTGTACTCCTGAATCAGCTGGATGTCAAAGGCTTTGTCCAATATCATGGAAAGGAAAAAAAAAAAAAACAATGGCCAAAATAGCTTGTTGCAAAAATTGGTTGAAAGCACACACAGAAAAAGAAAGGTAGTACAAGTCCAATAGGTTCACCAGGCAAAACAAATTTACACTTTTTGCCTCGATCTCCAATGCACCACTCACCATCCCAAATGAAAAACCGAACACCTATTAAATGAGCATACCATGTTTTTA